GAGAGAACTTCTCTCCAGTCTCTGTCTGTGTTGCACTTCGCAAGCTTTAGTGTCTTCAGCCAAGTACACAGGTCACATCGCTGTACTCCTGCCACCTGGTCGTTGACTCCCCAACCTTGCTTTGTCCCCGTTGTCTTCCTTGGTGTCTGTCCACGCACTGTTGTCGTCTCCAGCGGCCTCGTCTTCCGTGGTGCACCCTGCACCGGCAGATTCCCTGTCTTCGTCGGCGGCCTCGTCTTCTGTGGTGCACCCTGCACCGGCGGATTCCCAGCCTTTGATGCTCCCTGCATCAACGGGTATCCTGTCTTCTGTGGTACTCCCTGTACCTTCGGCCTCGTCTTCTTAGATGCGTCCTGCATCGCCGGATCCGCAGTCTGTTGGCTTACCGTTCTTGTCCCTGTCACGTGCACATGCGGTCTGAAAGTCAATGTCGTTGCTTGCTCCAGCGGGGCTGCTTTCGCCGGGGGATAGTGCCGCTCCGGCTCGGTTGCCGTCACCTGAACATGAAGGTCAGTGTCTATTGGTCGATTGTCCATGGTCTGAGTTGCTGTCCCGGCAGTACGGCGGTCGATGAGTTCAGCGTGCCCCGGCTGATCGGCATGCACCAGCGGAGCCGTCCACAACGGTGGATCAGTGTGCATCGATGGAGATGTCAGCAACGATGGAGCTATCGATGTGCAGCTAAATTTCTCCGCAGCAGTTGGATCAGGACTGGAAAAGTCGGTGCATCCACGAACCTCGATCCGATGGACAGCCGCCATGCTCGCCAGTATCACGGGACGGGGCTCCACGTCAACAGCAGGGCTATCATCGCTCGCAGCGGCCTCCCTACTCGTGGTCTCCCGATTCACGCGACAACCCGGCCTAACATCAACTTCTGCACCCGGACCGCTGAACAGGCTTGCTCGTCGTTCATCTTCATCCTGATCCGCACTGGTAGAATCATCGGAGCTGTACATCGCTTCCAATTTGGCGATCATTTTATTGAAGCATTTCCTTCGGTACACACCAACCGCTGATCCCGTGGCCCATGGATTACGTCCACGTCTGTCCAAGGAATAGGCTGATCCAGAAATCTGCCGCTCCAAGGAATCCTCCAGCTTCCGAATGTCAATCATGACATCGTAAATGGCGTCCACGATTTCATCTGCGGTTGTGTTCTTCATCATTTTCAGTCTTGAGTCTAAAATCCCGTCAATATCCCACCAGCTGCCACCATTTGTAGCGGGATCCCACTGGGCTCTTGTCCGCCAAATCCGGCCAAACGCAAGAAAGGGGGACACACAGACGGGATTTCTATAAACTCTGAAGGAAGATCTCATTTATTTCACCAAGCGGACTCTGCGGGCAACTTGCCGCACCGCTACCAGAACTGCAACTGATCAATTCCCACCATAGACATACACACAATCTGAACAAATGTATACAAATGTAGCAACTTTTCCCAACCCTGGAATCAAGCCAAGTTCTTCCCGCGCAATTGAACAAAAGAACCTCACTTAGCCAACCTATTTGTAGAGCCTATTTCCGGAGCGCGCGCTAGCCAGACCCAAAACCAGGTCAGGTGCGCGCCGCCGGAGCCCCTCCGCCGGAGCACTAGTGCTAGAAAGCAATGACAACAAAAGTGTGCATAGACTGTCCGTTACAATAGGAAGAGCAGTGGCCCCAGTACGGTCCCCTGGGGCACTCCTGATGTAACTGGAGATTCTGGTGACGTCTCCCCCTCAACTTGTACGCACTGATGTCACTGATGTGTTGGTGAGGAAGGTGCCACCATTTAAGTAGGCTGTTCTTGATGCCAACGTGCTCCAACTTGCCTAGCAGTCTTTGATGAGGGACCGTATCGAAGGCCTTGCTAAAATCCAATATGATCAGGTCTGCCTAGCTTTTGTTGTCCCGGATCTTAGCAATGTCATCGGTCAGACCTGCGAGTTGAGTGTCACATGATCTGCCATGACGGAAGCCATGTTGATGATGTGAGAGAACTTAGTATTTGTCCATGTGGTCCATGATGTGACGGTGAATGATGTGGGCGATCGTGAAGTGTAGGGCCCGGTTCCTATAAGGAAACAAAATCCACTTTAAAATTATTGGACCTACCAAACTAGTTGGCGACATTCTCAATAAACAGGTATGTCATAGATAGAGGGCAGGGTTTTTAGTTTTTGAGGGGAATTTGGGGGTAAAATCGTCACCGTTTCACGAAGAGCCACATATGTCAATATTTTGCTTTAAAACAATGTACTTAACCATGTTGACATGTTTCTGTAAGCAAAACATCATTAATTTCCAAGTAACATTAATGTTGCAAGGGGCAGAAATCTCGATAAATGCATTTTGAGTTTTCACGAAGAGCCACATACATTTTGGCCCTTTGAACGCGTACAAAACCCAATGCACGGAAATACGTAAAAGAAGGTCAAATGAGATTTGCGTTTTCACGAAGAGCCACATATCTTTGTTACATTTTCAGCTGCGCGCGCGTGCTCACGCGCGCCTATGGAAATACACGTTGAACAGAAAGGGCCAATATGTCGGAAACCTGAATTTGCGTTTTCACGAAGAGCCACATATCTTTGCTAATTAATTTTCACTAATTAACTGCTATATTAAGTCTTATTACTGGGCTCATGTAAAAATTCAGCTCTCGTAGAATCGTGTGATGGTTTCCTTGCTGCACAAAGTTGTTGCAAAGTGGTATTTTTTGCAGTTTTAAAATATGAGAAACTTCTTTTGCGATTATCTCGAAAACGCTTTTTCTTCAAAGTCCACATAATTATGTGGCTCTTCGTGAAAACGGTGACGAAATGACGATGGCAGCGCGGCGACAACACGCGACCCGAAAACAAAGATGGCGATCACCGCGCGATGTACCGTGAGCACGCACGGCGCGCTGAATCGCAAGGCACAAACCGCGCAGGAAAATCGTGATTTCTACCCCAAGAATCTGTTCAAAATTGCCAAACGGGTGTCATTAGAATTGAGAAAAGTCTGCTTTTGATTGTAAAGGTGATTTTTGAGCAATAAAAAATATTTTTGACTCTAATTTGATCAAAACAAAACAGGGGCCCTACACTTCACGATCGCCATGATGTGTTCTAAGATCTTGCTTGGAATTGAAGTTAGTGACACCGGTGTATGCCTAATTAACATTGTGCATTCGTTGGTGGTACTGCGAAGTATTCTATTACTTTTTTAACACACTTTTTAAAAAGTCCTTGTATCATTTACATACTAGCAGGATGCCGCGCGCGAATTTCTTTTCCGTAGGCGGGATGCTCCAAAGTCATGAATAATTCAATAGTTTCGACTGGGCCCTGAGTATGTTTATTCATGAAACTGAACAATGATGAAGAGCATTGTTGTTATTTAGTCAACCAGTTACCTTTAAAGCACTTTAAAGTACGGTCGTTGTCGAGCTACCACACAGTAGCCTAGTGGATAGCGTAATAAGCTATGGATACGAAGTTCCCTGGTTCGAATCATCCCGTCGTCACAATAGCGATGGAATGTTTTCATAGAGATAATGTTGTAATATTTAACCTTTCAAGGTCTCAAAGGAACCAAAGGGCCCCCCAGGCCCCCCAGGCCCCCCAGGCCCCCCAGGCCCCCCAGGCCCCCCAGGCCCCCCAGGCCCCCCAGGCCCCCCAGGCCCCCCCCCCCCCATACATTGTAGCACGGATGTGCAAGTGCCCTTTTCAATAAGTTTTTACCCCCAATGAAAATGCCCGTGCTACGCCAGTGGATGACGTTTCTCAATACTCCATGTTACTTCGTAGAATAAAGTGCGTGGCCACAGGGGATATCTCTAAACTTGCTGATTTGGCATGCACTTAATGTTAAAGTGGCTTCATTTGTTTTAAACTCATGCCACATATTTCATGTGATTGCTATGGAGATGATACCTGGCAAAGAAAATTCGGGGAATGTTGTCAGATTAAAATTGATATTATGATTATCAATTACATAACTGAGTTTGTATTCGTTTACCTCCTTAATTAGGTGTTTAGCATTATGTGTTCGCATGTGACTTTGGGGTCAAACTAACGGAGACTGTTGTCAGCTTGTGTGCGGACAGCCGTTAAACTCCCCAAATTGTCAAGTGTCGACTGTCGATTGTAAGTTTTACGGTCCGCAGCGGTAAGTTTTACAGCTAGGGCCAACTGGGTACGTCGTGGACGGAATTACATTGCTAGTTTTACTCATTAATGAAAATTAATGAGAAATAAGTCCAAGTGCGGTGCATAGTAGAATAACTGGAACAAAATTAATGTCAACAATCACTCGCTGTAACTTTTTGCAAAATTACTGAGGTACAATGCGAACGCGGCATAGTAGCCTACTAGTCGTAATTAGTGACATCTGCGAACGGCTGAAGATGAAGTTCTTCAGTTCGACAAAGATCAGGCTGTCGAAGTCAACGGAAAGCAGTTCCTTTTTATTTAGTAATAGTAGTAGAAGCCAAGTGGCACAGACTGCGGCAAGAAGTTTTCCGATTCCTTCCGGCCACTTTCAATATAGTTGCGCCTCTGGCTGGAGATGTGTTAAAAATAGAATGACATATCTTGTTCTATGAGTGTCTCTTCTACAAATGTCGGCAGTGGAATAAGTTTGGAATGTGGAATTTAGTTGGATGGGAATGGAGATGAGAATTGCATTTGGGAAAACGGGGGATGAAACCGTAGGCCTATAATACCTTGAAAATGGAAATATAGCGGATCTCAAGATGGGAAGTTGATCATGATCCAAAGGGGAACTATAGGGCTGGAGAAGGGGATGGAGGGAAAGAAACTACAATAAGACAATTGAGAAAAGAATAAAAACAGGAAAGAGTTATTGAAAGATTAGGAATGCCAGGGGAAATGAGCCGAAAACAGACTTGATGTGGCATGGGAGTCGGACCGTTTCAAGTCTCCAGAATACGGATTGCTGACATTAATTTCTGCGCAAAACATTTGAAAGGCGCATTACAACGGCTTCTAATCAATCATAGCCGGACGATTATGGGCAATAGGTGGCGCTCTTCACGGCCGACATTCCCGGTCCCCGGAAGTACCGTACGGAAGTATGCACTTGCTCGCAAGCTCCGGGAGGAAGCCCTGTTTGTCGATATCATCCAGGAGACAAACATGGTACATCGCCAAATGAAGTTTGTAAATGGAGTAATTGCAGAATACCCCGCCACTCGGAAAATACACCCCTAAAATATCTGGCCGCGGTTGGATTGAGGGCAATCAACCGTGACTCCGTAGCCCATGGTCATAGATCGATTGGCGAGGTGTACTCGAAAGGATTGTTGGTACTTAGAGTTCCATACCAATTACCGGGACATCACTTGACACCCTGTGCACAAAGCTTAAAGCTATAGTCCATCATTTGTAATTTGTGCATTTTGTTCGTTTGAAGCAACAAACGGGTTCAAAATCTAATGAAGGATACTGAACAACTAACCTGATGAAGTTTCAGCTAAGCTTCAGCTGTACATATCGAGAAAAACAGCATTCTAAGATCTCAATTTCAAAACAAAAGTTACTGAATCATGTTTTGAATTGTTTTGAATTGCAGCCATACGCGACGTAGCGCACTGATCCGACGAATTATAACAACTGCGCACGCGTGTGCGTCGTTCCAATACTTGTGCGCGCTGCGCTGAATAACAAAACGACCTACTAATTTAAATTTTCCTACGGTGCTTCTTAAGAATCACCGTTGGAAATGCCTTCTTTCGTTGATTACTTCAAAATGACAGCTTCCCAGAAGGAATAATTTCACAGGGAGTTTAGTTTCTTTACTATCTTTCAACCAAGTTTGTTTTTCAACAATGATTACGCCAGTTACTTTTCGGATGGCTGCAAATGATGGACTATAGCTTTAAGCTTATCAGACAGTAGCCCCATAAATGTGGCCTATTTACTGGACTGCCTCCGTAAACAAAGGCCACACATCCACATGTACAAAAACGTGTCGCACTTTGCCAAATTTTGATTTTCGCATTTAGGCTTAGTTTGTAGGGTTTGTTTTGCTTTAGAAGCATACTCGCCCTCTTTATAGGCTAATCAGAAAGTGCTGCCTTTTTCAGATGTATATTTGTTGTCGTATTGCAAAACACTGCATTCGAATTGACCAATCACGGCGCGCGGCGCTCGGTAACATGTTACGCAAATGCGCTCCCGGCTGTTGTTGTATTACAAAACGTCGCATACGAATTGACCAATCACAGCGTTAATCCTGATTTTGGGATGAAATGACGTCACGATTTAGTAAGTCGACTCTGATTGGCTGGCGCGCGGCTTGCATAAATCTGCATGCTTTGACATATCAGACGTTAGACAGGAGATGGCTCCGTGGATAACGGGTGATACTCAGACCAGTAATGGTGGGGGTACGACAGTAAAATTTTCCTTAATTAAGATCAGATGAATTATTAAATTTCCTGTGAGAATATAGACTAATTGGTTTGGGCAATGTATTGGCCAAAGGTTGGATTCAGAAAAAGCTTGTGCTAATGAAGCTTGAGTGACTCGAACTGACATGCTCGTCAGGAAGTTGTCATGTTCGATGTCAAATTCCTGATGAGCATGTGAGCTGGAGTTACTCAAGCTAGTCCTAAAGGGTAAAGGGTTGTGTGGACTGTGTTTACTTATGCTTATAATAATTATATCTCTTTGATTATTTCTTTGCAGACAATCATGGACAAATTCTCATTTTGACAATCAACAACATGAGTGAATAAGCAGGAGAATCTGCAGGAGGGATGAACTCTCGATATAATTCCATCCACAGAAATGGCATCAATTTCTCTCCAAGTACCGGTACTGTTTTATGCACTTATCTCTATTGCTTTCAACAAATCGTTAGCGATGAGTTCTGGTGAGATAGTCGGTGCTTTTGTTCTACCTCACGGGGGAATTGCTTTTGACCCTAGTCACTTTAACACCAGCAACCAAACAGCAAGGCAAGAGGCGTGGCTCATCCATGATGCAGCCCAAGCGGTGGGCGAAATCATCTCAAGCCTGAAACCAGACTTGATTCTTCTCAGCACGCCCCACGGAATCGCCGATCTGGAAAAATTCCAGTTTTACCTGAACCCCAAGGGTCGTGGATCTGCAGACACGGATAATTACGTCGGCCCGTATAGACTAGCTGTTGATTTGGACAGTATTTCGAGCCAGGATCTTGTTCGAGAGCTGGGCAAGTTGGGAGAGCACGTCAGTGGGCTGAGTGCCTTTGGCCCACCTGGTGGTGCAGCTGATCCTTTTCCACTCAGGTGAAATGCAGGAAAAATTTTCTTTTTTTTCTTTAGGCATATTTTCCTAAATAGTCCTTCCCATCATCCTGAGGCCTCAACTTAGTTATTTGGCTTTGTCTAGAGGCCTATCCCGTCGAATACGATGATGTAGCCCAGTGTCTAGCAGTAGGAAGTGGGGCCGGTACCAGACCAAAAAACCCACTCTCCCACCAGACAAAACCCTCAGGGGAGGGGCAGGTGCCAGAACAAAAACCCCACTCTCCCACCAGACAAAACCCCCAGGGGAGGGGGAGAACAGCAATCATGACTACTATTTGTAACAAAAGGTTGTCTGAATACTAAATCAAAATTACCATTTCATAAAAATGATGAAAATATATATGCCACTATATTTATTATTTTTTCGTTCTCTGTTTTTTGGGGTTTTTTTTTTTTAGAAACACTATGGAGATTCCAAGGCAGACCATTGACATAACTCACGTTGAGGAGGGTCTAAACGAGGCTAACGGAATCATTTCCTCGTTCAGCGACTGGTGTGCTGTGGGATTCGTTCAATGCTTGCAGGTAGTGGTACAGGCAAACAAACTGATAGCGACTCCTTCTTTTAATGAAGCCGCTGAAACCGTAAAGAACTATTTTCGTAATCCACCACCACTTTAGAAGTACATGAACCTGAAGATGAGCAGCCTCCAGTACCCAAAAAAAAAAAGCTGCAAATTACAAAGAAATCTATAAAAAAATTAAAAATCGTTATGAGCCACGGCGGCAGCAAGAAAATGAGGATATTCCAGAAGTACCGGTGGGAGAGTGAGGATATAGTGGCATATATATTTTCATCATTTTTATGAAATGGTAATTTTGATTTAGTATTCAGACAACCTTTTGTTACAAATAGTAGTCATGATTGCTGTTCTCCCCCTCCCCTGGGGGTTTTGTCTGGTGGGAGAGTGGGGTTTTTGGTCTGGTACCTGCCCCTCCCCTGAGGGTTTTGTCTGGTGGGAGAGTGGGTTTTTTTTGTCTGGTACTGGCCCCACTTCCTACTCTAGCCGTAGGACGATTCTTGCAATCATCAATATACGCAGCAGAGGAAGCAGAGCAGCCAGAACGACAGCAGATTGCGAACAAGCATGATCGAAAGCCGATTTCGAAAGCCTGCTCAACACTAATCAGCAGAAGTGACTAAAGCTACTGCTGGCCGTAGCCCACTTATTGGGACAAAGCCTTATTTATCTCATACTTGGCAGTTTCTACATAGGTGAATGTGTGTAAGGGACTGAAATGTACTTTCTGAATTTTGAAATGTTCAACAGATGGGGTGAAGTGATCCCACTCTCCTTTGTCCGGAGCCTAGAGACAATGAAAGTAGCTGTCATCTCTCAGCCTAGCCGACGCTACAATGACAGTGTCCAGATGATTCCAGAATTACTGCATCTTGGTAAGAACGTTTTGGCTCATGATGGTATATTGTCATCTTTCCTATTTTGGCAATTGAATGTGGGATTTGAGGGTATGAATGAATTTTGGTCCTCCCGCCTTTTGCTACCAGCAACCGTTGTTCACCAACACTCATTCATTTACAAGTGGATTCCAGGGATTGATTTTGTTGATTTTTGTTTTTGATATCTTCATTTTCAGAGGGAAGGGGAGCCTGATGAGTTAACATTTTCCATATATAGCACACACAAATAACACGTATTTATTAAGTACAGCAGAATTCATGCTCCAGGCGCCACATCAGTATTATCCCTACTCATTGGGACCAAAAACTTTCTAAAGATGATCTCAGCTCCCAGGAGTATACAGACAGATGCCGCCATTTTGGTAGAAACCAGCTGAAATCGACCACAGGAACCGTCTCTGAACTCACAGGTATCCATTTACTCCTTGGTGGGGAGAAGCATTTGGTCACAAATCGTCTTGCCCAAGGACATGCCCACCACAACCCCTGAGGGCGAGTTTGATGCTCCGTGGCCATGGCTATCCTGCTGCCACCTGTACCTTAACTTTACTATATGTGTGAATAAAACTCTTAAACAACATGTTTTCTATGTATTTCAGGAGCAGTACTTCATGATCAGCTCCTCTTGTTACAAAAACGCATTGTAGTCCTCATCAGTGCTGATCTCGCCCATACGCATGATAAAAATGGTCCGTATGGATATTCAACAGCTGCTGAGCCGTTTGACCAAGTAAGATCAACAACGTCTTGCCTAGTAAACTTTATAAATCCATTTTGAATACCCCTTCCCACCGCCTCCCACCTCCCCATACCAACTCCTCCATCTCTCCTTCCTGCTCACCACAATCTTTCTACCCTTTATTGGTACAACACTCATCAAAGCCTGTAGCGGATCTAAAGGTGTGGCCGAGGAGGTTCGGGGGGGGGGGGGGTTGCAACCCTGCCCCTCATGTTATATTAGTAGAATGGGGTCAAAAATAATAAGTGAAATTGTCAAGTTCCTAAATTTATTCTCAAATCGCTTTAGAATGCACGAGAAAGCATCTTAAATTTCACAATATTTCCGGAATCTTAAACTCAACCCCTCCTTTATATCAAACCGCATCCCCCATTCCTGAAAGCTAAATCCTCTCTAGATGAATTGGAAGGCAGTCGCCTTCCAATTCATCTAGATCTGAACATGACTCATCATCAGGTTCGAATTCCTGGGTGCCACAAGCACTGATCTCTATATAAAGACTGGATAGCGGATATCCATACATCATTCACACAGTAGACTTTGCATATTGACCAATTCGCCCCCGGTCTCACGAAGATGACCGCGTATATACGAACATTCTACGCGTAAATACACGCGCGTTGTATCAACAGTTGACGCGCATTTTGGTCACGTACACATGATGTTCTAAAAAGGACACATTTCCGTAGTGATTATTATTTCAAAAACGCCGAAAAAGTGATTTGCGGCATTATAAAAGTAACCACGACGTTAGAAAAATTGTATTAAACCTTGGTCAGTTGGTCAGTGGTGGTGGCCAAAATATAAGTCAAGTGAACCGCGACGTTACAAAAAAAATCATGCTGTCTATAAAGACGGCAACTTGTCCTTTGAAGATCACCAGCCGGTCTCACCAATATGGCGTCAAATTCGTACATTGTGCGGCTCTTTATTAGCTATCCAGTCTTTACATAGAGATCAGTGGCCACAAGTCTAAAAACTAGTTTTGTGTAGAGTTGTTATACCCGTATTGTATGTTTAACTTGAAACAAAAAACTTGCATGAGGTCAAGTCCATCAACCCTAGCATCAAATGCTTCATTGTAGAAATGTCCCATAGGACAAATGTAGGAGCGGTTTTAGATGTCAAATTCAAATTCTGGGCCGGATGTTGGAAAAACCAGGCACATTCTGCCTCCATTATTTGTTTGTTTAATTTTTGACTTTTACTTTTATGTTACCCATAAGTCTTGTGAACCATTAGACATTTTGACTTTGTGACTGACCTACATTGTATGAGTTATACTTATAATTCTTTGCATTTTTGTATTGGTTGAATGCCAGTTTATTTGATTCTGGGAACATCCTTGTTTAACCATTGTGCATCACATAATCTGCACAGGAAGCACAGTTGTCTCAAAAATCAAAGGTGAACACAATCAAACTTGGCATGAGGAGGATATATGATGTAGGGAGCATATTCAACCTAACACTTTCCTCCTTTTCCCTTTTGTGGTGTATGTATCCCTCCTTCAATCAGGCCTGCAGTTTATGGGCCTCCACCTTAGATGAAGCTGCGCTGGTGTCTACAGCTGCCCAGTATGTCAACAAGGCCCTGTCCTGTGGGTACACAGGACTTGTCATGCTGCATGGATTGATGAAAGAGGCATCGCTAGATAACTGGATGCCCAAAGTTTATGGAAACTATCATCCCAGCTACTATGGAATGATGGTGGCCTCATTTCTAAGAAAATAATATTACTGTTGAAACTGGGAAAGGAACAAGTTAGGAAGTTTTTTTGCATTTATCAAATTAACCTTGTTACTGAAATACGTCTTTTTATTTAGTTTTTTGTAGTGATTTGTAATTACAGTCCAGCACTATTAATACGAGCTCCAGCAGACCAAAAAACCCAAAAGCCTTGTAATATCCAGTACCTCATATTATGCATAGCGATGACATGCCCATTCATCCATGACGCCCCAACTGGGCGCCTTGCACGTGTGAGTGGTTTCTGTTGAAAATGTACACAAACTGTGGATGCAGGAACAAAGTTTTTTCAATAGGGTATACCATAAGGCCAAAAAAAAAAATCTCCGGTTTGTGGTATGGAGCTTGCCTAAAAAGTGGTGCGGCGACGCGGCTTTTTTTTTTTACTTACCTGATTTTTTTTGCTTCAAATGTCGGCTGATGACTGCAAATGGTGCCCGACTAAACTTAGTGCAAATATATGGGAGTCCAGAGAGGCCACATAAAGCTTATTCTCGACCATAACCCAATCTAAAAACACATTAAAATTGTGCAGCAGCAGGATTCCAGTCAAACCAGTGAGTTTGGGGGTTTTGAGACATCATCTTTCATTGAAAAAAAAAACTTTTTCATTTTGCAAACGCGCATGGCTACGGCGACGCGCGCGCATACCAGAAACCGGAGACTTGTTTTTTTTGGCCTAATCTACATGTCTGGAAAGCTTGATAAAATTCAACGAACCAGATCGCCTATCTCTAAAACTAAAGCATTTTCAGCCTCTCGTCCCACGGACTAACACAGCTACCAGGTAGTTTATGTTTAAACCACAGTGCGGATGAACGAGCCGATTAACGTTAGCATGACAATTACATGAACTGGGCAGGCATCTTTCTTCTGGGTTGGGATTAAGGAAGGGGTTTTAAAAACATTCTTGTCTTAAAGGGAATGTACATCATTGACTTTTGCTGTAATTTTCGGAAATGAAGTAGTTGAGGTGTTAGTATAATAGATCAAAATATTGTTATACTCACATGTTTGAAGTTTTGTGTTCGAAAATGCTGGAAAAACCAAGGAAAACCAAAAAAAGGTTCAAGTAGTCTGGTTCCCTGACTCCACTATTATGAAATGTATCAATTTATAGATGCTGGAAAATTGTATGGTAAGGGAACCAGTCTAGCTGGCTTGCATCCGTTCATGAACAGGTAACCAATAGCAAACAAAATTTGGACTGTAAAAAAAAAATGGTAAATTTAGAGCAGCAGTTAAAAAATAGTTGGGTTTTTCCAATGATGGTCGGCCGACCATCGTTGGAAATTTATACAAAAATACCACTTTTCTTGAAAATGACTTCACACCAGGTGCCATGATTTTAAAGGATGCTTTAGACTGGCATTTACCAACACAGTAGTAAGGTATTTCGTAAAAATTTGGTAGTTTAATTTTTTATATTTGCAAATGTTGTATATTCCCTTTAAAGATGTTGAAAATGACATTTTGTATTCAACCGGGTCGCCAAAAAATCCTCGTTGTAACTATCTTCTCGTGTTAATGCTTCTCGTATTAAAACAATTTTCTCCCATAGAATAAATGTGCATGTTTTGGTCGGGACTGACGATTAATATGCTTGTGATAACCGTGTCCTCGACTCCTCGTCCCAACCCAAATAATTGTGCTCGACTGTATTGATCAGTTGATTTTCTATTTACTATTAGTCATACTCATATTCATTTCTATAAAGGACATGCACAGCTGCAGCGATCAGGATCACTTCAATTACTGAAAGCAATTTATAGTTTCCAACAGAAAATCCACACATTTCAGTCTTTCACTTTTCAAACAACCCAACTTTTCAATCCAATGATACTTCTCTTTTCATTGACTACTCAACTGGTATATATTCTAATACTTTTTTAAATGAAAAAGAAATCAATAAAATTTAAGATAAAAGTCTGACTTTCTCTCTGTTGTATTGCAATTCTCAAGACATGAGTTGACTTATAATTTAATCTGAAATATTCTTTCAGATCCTAATTGGTCTTGTAAGAGAAATTTATTTTAGAATATTGTAACTGCATTCATTTAATGCAAAGTAATCTGTGAGATAACTCTTTTTCATTTATTCCATTAATTCAATCGGTGTACAATTGATCTCTGTAGACCTTATTGATTAAACAATAAATGAATAAAATTCATTTATATCAATTAGTCGTTTCTGAAGTTTCATTTCTTAATGTTTTCCTTGCACATCCTTGTGAGGGTTTTTTTCCCAGCCATTTTTGCACATCAGAAATAAAGTTATTAATTTTTTTCCGTGGAAGAAATTGGTTCTTTCTACTAGAAACATTACAAAATATATTTTAAAATGCGATGCCCATGCTCTATTTTTTTGGTTTCACCCCGAAAACAGATTTTTTTTTTCAATTGCTATTTTCCTAACAATGAAAAGTTATTCACTTTTGAATGAGACATCAAATGGAAAATCTACCCACGTGATTTCCTCCAAAAATTCGAATGATTGGCTGACATTTTTTTCTTTGATTGGAACTCGAAAACACAACGAGATGGGCAACTTTAACAATATTACATTTGACAACCACGTCATTATGGTTTCTGTCACATTACTCAAATGTCACTTTTCTTATATGTTGTCATAAAACAAAGGTGACGAAAATGGCAAGTGTATAACTTTAACAGTGTCAGTTGGCATAGCGACGCGTCACTTGGGCGGTCCGTTCGCCGGGAAATTCACCATTGAAATTGCGCAGCGCCCTCTGTTGACGTCACAAAAATTCCTTCCTTTCAGCAAAAGTTCAGCTGAAAATGGTCTTTTCTTCCAAGTTTATCTCATCAACTAATGACGATGTTCTTCTTGGAAAGCTTAACTCATTGGGTAATCACTGAAATGATCAGGAAACCGCTTGTTGTGTTCTGTCAATCACCTGCTATCAATCACTTTCGTATGCAAATTAGCTTCATACAAGACGTGTGTACACAGCGCCAGGGGAAAGTCATTCCGAGCCATTTGGAGGAATGCGACGACCGTTGGCTTTATTGTACTTTTTTGTAGGCGAATAATATGAGATTTTGACTTCAATTGAGCCGACCAGACGAACTTTTGTATATTTCTGCATTTCTGGTGGTGGAATAAACCCGATGATATAGAACAAAAGCTGCGGGAGCATGACCAAAATGGGCAAAAGTGGCATATTCTGGGCATCTACCTTCGTCTGTTTGTGTGTTCTTCAACAGGTGCGTGGATGTTCTTTTTTTTTGTCGCCGATTGCGGGGCGCTGTAATCCAAAATATATTTCACCTTAATACATTAGCTGGAGTTACCCAGCCCTAAATTAAATGACAACCCAATGATAAAATTTAGGGCTGGGTAACTTCAGCTATTAATACATGTAATATTTGAACATAAGTTTAAACCATTCAAATATTTTATATTTTAAAAAGGATTTGTGTTAAGTTATGTGTTTGCAATTGCAGTTCTTCAGAAAAATTAATTCAAAGTTTTTTTTAGAGGATAGTGATTAGTGGATATATTATGCCGGATACAGCTTTCTCAGTTTAAATTAGTAAACGATATTAAGCCGGAGAGATCTTACAGTGCCCTCTTTGACACCTAGACGAGTATGCCTACATCATTGTAATGTTTTAAAATACCACCATCATTTGAGCAGCTTTTGTAGCAGATTGGACGACCATCGATGAGTGAGGGATCCTGGATTCGATAACCCCCATGACATCTGTTGCGCTCACTCGAAATTTCCGTTGTTTTTGTTTTCTAACGCAAATAATAATAATATTCTAGTTTTATTATTTTAAATGGATTCCTACGTTTATTTGCAGAGTATCTTTTTCTGATTCGTGGCTCTGGATGATTTTTTTTAAGGGAAATAAGTCCGAAATTGTATCTTGTGGATACGAAGTAACAACGACAATGTTGGCGTAGAACCAGACTAAGATTTGTCATGGTAAAAAGGGTCTAAGTCCCAAGATCCGGCTAAATATCCACTGCCATTTTAGAGCCATTTTCAACATGTTCAAGATACATACATTGTATTCCATAACCATAAACCAAACCATGGGGCTACTTTTTTTACAATGCCAAGCATAAACCGTAGTTCTGTTCTTTTTGTTTGAGAATCACACACTACTTTGTGTATTGTGCCCGATTAATTAACAGTAACATTCTTTTTAAAGCATTTTTCTCACTAAATTTAAACTGTTCTCAGCCTTAAGTACATGCATATTCATATTTTGTTGTTGTTCAGGAATAAAAGAATTAAACAAAATAGTAACCTTCTTTTTAAATGGTAATTTATCTGATACAATCTGGCCAACCAACCCTGTCAGAATTGTAGGTCATCAAGTACTTAAAAAAACAACCGCAGGAGGTCGTAATGTTGTGACCCACCCAGCTTGTGAATTTTTTCTTGAAAAAGAGCATTGTTTAAATAACATGTCCATCATCAAAAGTCAAAAGAATTTTAATAGATTTCCTTTCTGATTTCAGGCTACCCAAGTCGGGTCCCAGTCTTCCCCAGTCAATGTCGCCCTCAACAAGCCGATATCAGCCCGCATCACCTGCGGCCTCAGTGGCCCTGAGAACTTCTACACCCACGGGGAGATATCCAAACCGCCCGGCCAACGCGTGTCCTCAACATGCGACGCTAGCGTCCCCTCGCTGGCCCATGGTCCCGGGAGCATGGTGGATCTAGACCCAGCCACAGGAGACGTGTATACGTGGTGGCAGAGTACCTCTAGGAATAGCCTGCTCAGTGCAGGGATGCTGATGCCCGATACCCAAATAACCATTGATTTGCAAGAGGTAATTGAAGCAGTTGTAATTGAGCCTGTAAAGCCCCAACTGTATGACAGGTTGGAAGTTCGAACCATCGGGGTCTGCTCATAAGTCCGACGCCTCATAGGTCCGACGCCTCATAAGTCTGACAAAATTGCATCCCCTAAACAAATAAAGACCCATAAGTCCGACGCCTCATAGGTCCGACGCCTCATAAGTCCGACGTCTCATATATAGGTCCGATGCCTTATAGCTCCGACGCCTCTTAAGTCCGACAAATTAAACGCTTTGTTTTTCCATTGTCGGACTTATGAGGCGTCGGACCTATGAGGTGGAATAAATAAATTGTATGCATCATAAGTCCGATGCCTCATAGGACTTATGAGACGACGGACCTATGAGGCGTCAGACTTATGATACGGCCCCGAACCATCCTGGCCTGGCTAAGGTGTTCTAGTTTAGCCAGCCCAGCTATACTTGCGCTGGACTCGGCATAGTTTTCACGGCAGAATTCATAAAAAAGTGTTTCTATTTGCCATTTCATCTATGTCGCAAACACAAAATTATTATGTTTAAACCAAAAACAATTTAGGAAAGTCCCAACTGTGGGGCTGAATGGCACTGATATAGTTAGGTCATAAAAAGCCCATTACAAGTCCATCACAACTGCAATCACAAACCCAAATCACATGTGAAAACACAAGTATGTAAACAGTAAACACTCAACGAAAAATTACAAAGGAATGCGTTTGTCACATTTCTATGGCTAAAATTGTAACTTGGGATTGGATGGTTTGTGATGGACATGACGGTCTTGACTACAACATTTTGAACTGACATCAACATTTTGCCTCAGCAAATGTAAATGTACAAAATTTTAAATATTTTAAGTTCAGATCTACTCTTCACACAGTTTTCCAATAAAAGGAGCTGGAAGAATTCAAAGTACTATTGTAGAAAGATTAACCATTTAACAACCAAAACTTAGATTAACAATTTTAATGCAATAAGAAATGTCACAAATTCCAACACTTTATAAATATCATGCACAAATTTTCCCTGGATTCTTTTGGTAACAGCTGTACCTGTTTTCCATAAAAATGCAATTATGACTCACTGCTGCAAAGGGTGTGGTACCATGCATTCACTGTATAATTAATGAAAAGGCAATTATGCAGCACAATGCAGGGAACAAAAGGATTCTGGCACAACTGTTCCTGAGGAACACCTGTTGCATTGTGTCATGAGGCAATATTCAATGGGCGTAGCTTCATAAACACCTGTTAGTTCCATGGAAATCTATAATCCAATTAAGAAAAACATTCCAAAGCCAATCATTTGAAATGACTGTTATGGAATTTTCATTTTATTTACATAGAATTTTTTTGTTTTCCCTGTTTGTTTCTTTTGTAATTGTGTTTCAGACCACTTAAGGATATTCCATATTTGTCCACATATATCTCTCTAACATGACGTCAGTGCCTGCAGATTGCCACTTGCATCAGCATTTTGGGAGTCAAATTTGCATGACACGCATCCGCTGCTCTGTATTTTGAAAACAATTTCGAGCAACATGTGCGCGCATCTTCAAAACATTTTGCACACTGCGCGTGTACACGCACTTGATGGTGTTGAATATGCAGTTTTCCTACGAAGATGGCTGTCTGTGAGAGGGGTCCATTGGTCAAGATTGTGCAGAATTTGAAATGCACTTTTTAGATTTCCAGTTCTCTTGCCAAAAATAAAATAAAAGAAAAGGGGCCTATAAATTTGGGGAACATTGTGTTTAGTATATAAAATTTGTGAGAATATGGTAATAAAAATGGATACTTCGTTGATTTACTTTTGCAATGAGTTTGAATAATTACTTTAATACAAATTTTAGTATTTGTGGTCTGACAAGAAGTCAGGCGGGGGGGGGGGGGGGGGGAGATACATTCCTCATGTAGGAAGTGGTTTTCATGAATACTTAGCTGGTTTTTACAATTTTAGGCCCCTTTACCGGCAGTTACTATTGGACTGTTCTCTTCAATACATGATTGCAACTGCAGTATCCAAGTATAGTAATGGCCACCATGTGGTCTAATGTGCTAGTGGGCGCTCAGTCAACACCGCGTTTTATCACAGAATTAACAATCAGTTTGGACAGGCTGTGTGTTCCAGATGTCTGAGAAACAACTCAGAGAAAATTTTTTTTTTCCAAAACTGTTTTTAAAAGATTTCATGCTGTTTTCTTATGATGCTTGCAGAGTTACAAAATAGAAACGATCCAGATACAAATGGGGGACTCGGTCCGTCCCAACCAGATGGCTGTCTTCAAATCCGTGGACGGCATTTCCTTCACCCCTTGGCAGTACAAAGTCTCATCAAGTGGTCAGTGCATGACGGAGTTTGCAGTACCGCTGACTACATCCGTGACTCAAGACTCTTCTGTACTTTGTACTGTGTACTCGATCAGCTCTCAGCCAAGGAATGAGGTGGTGAGTGCACATCAGATGATTTTACAGCTTTTTGATGATTGTAGCTCCTTCTTTTTTAATTTGATTGCTTCAAGAGCTCCCTAACTATTTTGAAGTCCTCCAGAAGTTAGAGTTGCATTTCCCCTGCCATTTTTAGGTTTCATGCCCAAAAACAGATTCCTCTTCTAAATTGCTACATTTCTAGCAATACAAACGTTATTCAATTCTGAATGAATCATCAACTGAGAAATTTGCCCACATTGAATTATTACTTTAAAAATTTAGAAATTTAACAATTAGCCCAACAATATTCCACCCCAAGTATTGAAAATGTATGGACCAGAAACCAGTCTTCTTGCAAGGCGAATCTGAGTGTGTCCAAAATAAAACCCTTTTTTCCCCAGAGGGTTGCAGATGCAGTTGCAAAAGCATTAACAAGTAAGAGTTTTTTTAGTTGAAATAAAACATACAACATGCTTTCAACTGTTCCTACCTAGGATCAGCTGGTTTTCTCTTATTTCACTTTACACTATATATACATGTACACCATTAAAAAAAAGGAGAAATGCTGTATAAAGCATGTAAAGGTTTATAGAATTTCCTATTTTTGTTACTTCCGAGTTGCATGCCTGATATGGAAAAATTTGCTAAAAGAAAAACAAACTGAATATTAAGAAGATCAAGGGGAACACATCTTTTAACACCTGGTTTTGCTTTATTTGAAAGATTCAGGAGTCTGTGTATATCAATAAAATGTAGTTTTGTGCAAATCTGGTCAAACACTTCCAAAAGTACTGTTAAACTGCACAATCCTGGATTTTGCCCAGATTGAGGTTGCGTCTCAGCATAAATTCCCAGCGAATGATTGTTACATAATTAATACTCATCGTCTTACTTTGAAAAAGAAAACAGTATGGATCATATCTGTACTTTAAGACAAGAGATTACACTTTTGACAACAATTAAGTAAAACCGTGCTAATGTTAATCAAGTTAAAGTTGACAAGAAGAAGAATTCTATGAAAAAATTGACAGCTTTATCTGGTGACATGTTGAAATTACATGTATGTCTATATCGCAAACAGAGTGTTGATTTTGACATTCTGTTGATTTGTCTCCAATGCATGCCCTTAAACATTCTTTATTTATGTGGGGATATCCTGTGTTTTTCTTCTTGATAGATTACTTTCAACTTCAACCCTCCACAACAATTCACTGAGTGGCAACGTGCCAGATACGTACAGTTCAACTTCTACAACATGGAGCGAAGTTTTGGTATCTTTTCAGATGAATATGTGAGTACTTGGATTTTTGTCTAAACGCCTTCTGCATGTCAATTTCTTTCATCCTTGTTCTGCAATGTAAGTCTGTATTACAGATAGAGACAGATAGTGAATTTTCAGCTTCAAGCTGATTGTGATGTTATTGGCCATTAACCCTAAATAATCCGGGTTTATTTGGCCATTAACAGGGAGAGATTCTGTCGCCTCCTATATTAAAAAAAAAAAAAAATATGCAATGAGACTTCCTCACTGGAATTTGGTATATAAAAGTAGAGACACTCATGCTTAATGTAAATGTTCAGCTGAATCAGACAAAGCATTTTATAATTACGGTCATTATGTGTTCATCCGCTAATGAGTATGTTTGCTTGTACACAGTATAAACTGAAAACATAAGTTTTGGCATCCCATTACAGACATTTGACCTTGTCACCAACGCTTCATCAGATTTTTACGAAATTGGTGTCAAAAGTCTGCTAGACATCAAACGTCATAAAGCTGGTCTCAAGTCAACCAGCAAGTTGCTTGCACTGCAGCTGAACTGGCCTTGGTCAAGGCATTCATCGATAGTGTCTGTGTTGGTACTTGGCCACTTAACATTCGTTCTTCGCCAACTGATTTGCAAATCGTAGCCGCGTGAGGTTGCTATTCATGTTTCGTACAGTGCATAGCATGTTGTTGTTAGTTTTTATGTTTCAAGTAGCGAGACAGACACTATCGATGAACACCTTGACCTAGGCAAGGCTAGTTCCATCTCAGTGCAAGCAGATCGCAGGTTGACCTGAGGATGGCCTAAAGGCTCGACACCATCCACTTGGCTGGGGGGGGGGGGGGGGGGCTCACAGTTTTTTTTGGGGGGGGGCAGACTATTTTGACGTTGGTGGTGCTACTTACACCCCTATTATACTACTCGAAAATAGGCCACATTCATATCACCAAGGTCAAATCGTGGGACTTAAAAAAAAAAAAAAAAAAAATTGACGGGGGGGGGGGGGGGGGGGGGGGGGGGGGGGGGGGAGGGGGGGGGCTCAAGCCCCCCGAGCTCCCCCCCCCCCCTTGGGTGTGCCACTGCATCCACTGCCAGAGTGTAGTAGGTAGAGCAAGGGCAAATATTAACCATTGAGAGCATACTTGGATTGCAGCATCATTACACAGTTCGCAACATCAACGTTCTGGGCCAGTGTGAGTGCAACGGCCACGCCACTGACTGCACCTTGCAGCCCGTGGCCGGGGACTCGGAGCGCATGACCTATCAGTGTGTGTGCGGCGGGAACACCCAGGGCCCCACCTGCCATCAGTGTCTGCCATTCTACAACCAGCTGGCTTATCAGACGGGCCAATCTGGATTCACTTGTCAAGGTTTGTGTGGCTGAGATGCTGTTACAGACTCCCTGCATGAACAGTATAGATACAGTAAACCCCGGCTAAACCGACATCGTACAACTCGTCAAATCGCTCAAGTCGGCCGTCTGACTAAAGTCCCGATTGTCCGTAATGCATTTCCATTGAATTTTTTATTTCTATGTCGCCATTTCACGCAAGTCGTCGTGTTATTCTCGGTCCCCTTTCCATAAAAAGCATTACAAAATCATTTGTGTAAGTCGGCATTCTCGCATTGGCATCGACTTCCTGTACTGCGGTTGGCAAGGTGTCGAGTGAAAAGTGATTTGGCACGGCCTGTGATCGCTGCATGCATGCATTGGTGTCAAAAAACGGTGTCCTACTGCATACATCGCATGTGCATCGTGAGCATACCGGTATCAATACCAGTACACCCTCTAGGCTGTACGCATGCACTCTGTCCATTTTAGGGGTCGTCTTATTGAATGACCAGTGCTGCAGTCAATGCGTGCGTGATATATCGGACCACACACACATTTAATTGGTTACTGTGCACTTACATGTATCTTGGTCTCCACTATCAATACCCCAAACGTGATGATACAATTCAAGGATTAATTTGCTGGACTCAACTCAAGCATTAAGGAGACAATCCAGGGTAAATCGTAGCCATTTAGTGCAATGAATCGTGTGCAAAAGACCATTCATGTAAGCCAGCAAAATGACGACTTACATCAGATATCGGCATTCGCGTAAGTCGTCACTACTTCTCGGGTCCTGAGAGTGCCGACTTAGCCGGAGTTTACTGTGATTGCACTTTGATTAATTAAAATCTGAATGTGCACAAACCTGTACCGTGTTTGTGTGAGTGCCGAATGTGGGGCAACAATGCGTTTTTGGTCCGGCCTGTTTGTAATCAATTTATAGTTTTCAAAGTTAAACAAAGATATTGACCAAGACAGAAAACTCCTTAACTGAAGAGTGTGTCTCTTAACTGACATCACAGAACAGCGCCCTCAGCTGTTAGGAAAAGCATGAAGCACTTCAAATGTTAGACATGTTAAAATAGTGCACTTTTCAAAACGTTTAGCCAGAAATGGATCTCTCATAGTTTTCATACACAAAATATGTTTCAGTGTAACTGAAGCGGCAGCACTTCAGGGTGGTGGTGTACCTCCTCATTACTAGTGCTACAGCTGGGGGTTTCTGATGTGATGGGTCAGAGGTCGCAGGTTAGACTCGGAGATTGCAAGGGTTTTGACAGAAGCGTCATAGATCATCAGGTTCTTCTACATTTATTGTCGCATCGAATTGGCTCCGTGAAAAATCCTTGCATCCTTTAGTAATTATTAATCAGTATCATCAGGAAATTAACGAATCAAAATGGTAAAATCAGAGTCGAAACGTTGACTATCACGCAGTTGTATGTTTGCGATTTGTTGCCAAGCAGTACTCCGCTGCACTTCAACAGAGGGCGCTATACAAAAATTGCTATCATCAGGATACATTTACAGTAACATTCATGTCATGGTCCCTTTAAAACAAAACTTGTTGTTTTTCTGTAGAGTGCAACTGCTTTGGGCACAGTGACGTTTGCGCCTATGACACATTAGTTGGGAGGGTTAATGGTAGCTTGGATGCCAGCGGCAGCTACAATGGTGGTGGCGTCTGCCAGGAGTGCCAGAACTTCACTGCAGGTACAAACATCTTTGACCTTGTATTTTAGCTTCAGCACTCTGGTTATGAAATGCGTTATCAAAATGAGATAAAAAGTTGAACGCTAGACAACTAAGATGGAGCCGATATATCAGCATGTCATCTTTTGTGGGTGTTCTTTTTAACCACCATATTGGCTCACAGCATGCACAAAGTTAATATGTTTGTTATAATATTGCGTACGTGGACTTCAAAAGGGGGAAATTACTGTCATCAGTTTCAATTGTTCAATCGCACACTTAATTTTTTCAGACTAATTCTACTTGAATGTCCCCTTCCATACTTTATACACTTGAAATTTAAAAACTTTAAACCATTTTTAACCAAACACATATGTCCCAGTCTGTATATTTTTCAAAGTGAAATGAAAAATGGGCAACTTTGGTGAAATCCCATTTAATCTTTCCCTTTGAACCCAATTCCTTGTTGAAAAGTCTATTATTTTTTCCGTTTTAAAAGTACACAGCACTGAGCATACAGCGCTTACAAGATAACATTGGTGAAGGCAATACTCAATATCAAAAGGTTAGATAGTGATTGCATTCATTTCTTTCCTGTGTGCTCATGAAGGCATTAATTGTCAAGAGTGCCAGCAGTTTTACTTCCGTCCGTCCGACAAGCTCCAGACAGATGAAGATGCCTGCCAGTCCTGCGAGTGTAACATCCCTGGCACCAGGGAGGACCCCAACACTGGCCTGGTCAAGGGAGAGTGTGTCATGAACACTGACAGGCCTAGTCCAAGTGGAATGGTTTGTTCTTTTGTGATAGAAAAGATCCCCCAACGTTAACTTTGTTGAAAGCCAACATTTTAATGTTTATTCCCACCCTCAGTGAACAATCCTGTTAAGACTGATGTTCACAGCAATTTTTTACACGCCAAATTTGTCTGACTGCTGTGCAATGTACTTAACCAATTTTGCGAAACTTAGCATATAGCTGTGCAACAGTGTATGCCAGGGATTCATTTGAGGATAATCGTAGCTTTATTAACAATGGCTATTTCGGCAATTGAGCTATAGGTTCTCATAGTATGACGTTAAAGTAGCATGCGACCATCCGGTTTGTCCGTCATCAGCCACCATTGCACAATTAAGACAAGCATTTGTTTAGCAACGGTTTCATTCATTGTAACTAGACAGCGGGGCTCATTTCCACGTAAAATAATTGTGAATTCTTATCAAATGACATAATTATGTCACAACCTGTGCCATGCACGATTGTCATAACCGTGCCAACCCAGCACTGGGTGTTGGCTCATCCTTCCTCTCACACGGTTTGGCATCCAACCACTGATCTCTATATAAAGACTGGATAGCGGATAAAGAGCCACACAGTGAATGAATTTGACGCCATATTGGTGAGACTGGTGAAACCGGCTGGTGATCTACAAAGGACAAGTTGCCGCCTTTACAGACAGCATGATTTATTTTGTAACATCGCGTTTCACTTAACTTATATTTTGACCACCACCACTGACCAAGGTTTACAATTTTTCTAACGTCATGCTTTACTTTTTTAATGCTGCAGTTCACTTTTTCGGCCTTTTTGGAAATAATAACCACTACGGAAATGTGTCCCTTTTAGAACATCATAATATGTGTACGTGACCAAAATGCGCGTCAACTGTTGATACAACACGCACGTATATACGCGTAGAACGTTCGTATTATACGCGGCCATCTTCGTGAGACCGGGGGCGAATTGGTCAATATGCAAAGTCTACTGTGTGACTGGTGTATGGATATCCGCTATCCAGTCTTTATATAGAGATCAGTGCATCCAACACAGCTTTTAAGGCTTGCCTACTATGTGTACCTACTTCGCGGTGCGGTATACAATATTTGCCTTCTACAATGGTGACTCTGACTCTCTAGTACTCGGATGTAGGCCAGGTCACGTTGGTCAGTGAGAAGTAGCCCTATACAACATCGTGATTTGACAATCATGACTGCTGTGTAGCTCAAATTGCCAAAATAGCAATTATAAAATTGTCAATTTTTTATTTGTAAAAATTACAAAAATACGTACATGTATTTTAAACATTACAGGTATTTCATGTGCCATTACTTGCTTATGCCATAACATATGGTAAAAGTGGAGTTTCGTAAAAGTGAAAGGGATTATAGTTGCTAAAGCCGTAAACAAAAAGGGACAATTTTTGGCACTTTCTTTGACAGATTTACACCCATCATTTTCCTTGTAAAAGCCCTTTCCATGTCAACAGCTTTTTTTCTCTGAAATGTTTCCTGTTGATTTTCTTATTAGCTTCCTGGAGGCTGTTACTGCAAGGTCAATGTGCGGGGGTCAAAGTGTGAAGAGTGTGCTGATGAATTCTATGATCTGACTGACGCAAACTCAAATGGATGCCTCAGTGAGTGCAGTGAAACTCTGGCATCAAAGTTTGATCTTTACTGTCCGAGCTTTTACATGAATACTTTAAGGCTAAAAACATTTAAAGAATGATTATCTGTTGCCCAAGCATGCCTAAAAGCACAACTATATCCATAGGCTCATTTATAAGGGCATGTTCACTTTATGTTTGATCAGTGCTTATAAGTAAAAAAAAAAATGGAAAATTGTTTCGCATATAGTTTGCTTAAACACTTTTATTCAATGAATCACTTTTTAGTAGTCTTTTTATGCCAAGGCCAAAAAAAATAGTGCTGCTTCCGATTACATGGCATTTGAAAATAGGGTACGTAGGTAGTGATTTTTTTTTTTGGCAATTTGTTTTGTGTACGATCACATGGAGGTGTCTGCCTGCATAGTCAAGAGTAAAAGGTAGCAATTCATGGTTTTCACTTTTTTTTCCTCATTTTTCCAAAAAAAAAAAAAAATTAGGGTAGGGGCTGTCAAAATAGGGTAGGGTAACTGGAATTAGAACAATTTTTTTTGGCCCAAGCGGGTACAGTGAAAACAAAAATTGAGTCCAGAAGTGTTTCTACCATGGTATTTGAGACATGAGTTGGGGAGGGGCGCAATGCATCACGCATTTGTACTTCAGTGAATGAATATTTCACAATTGTTAATATTGGCTGCTGCTAAAATGGAACTTGGCATTTGACACCTGAGTAATTGCATGCCAGCGGAGGCAAAGACAAGGGTGCCATGCCTCCTCATAAGTCCATCATCACATCAGTCAACAAGTCTGTTTGTAGCATGATCAAGCTTACATCAGTTTCTGAACTGGGAATTTACAGGGTGAATAAAAAAAATCCGAGATATTATTGCTAATTGGAACAGAAGTAGGGCCCATGTGAATCAAAGGGAGATATCCTCGTTTAGGGTTGAATCTCCTCTTTAAAATGACACCCTGATCATGTCATTACATTCACGGTTGACTGAGCAGTGACCAAGTTTATGAAAGGGTCTATTTAGAGAATTGCTCCACTTTTCAATTGTGTTTTTTTGTGGTGTCAGTTGTCACAGAGTGATAAGCCAATCAAGGCAGGTGGGGAAAAAAAGAGATTTCACCATGAAGAGTAGCGCAATTCCCTAAATAGACCCTTTCATAAAATTGGTCACTGCTCAGTCAACCTTGAATGTAATGACATGATCAGGGTGTCATTTTAAAGAGGAGATTCAACCCTAACAGAGGATATCTCCCTTTGATTCACATGTGCCCTACTTCTGCTCCAATTGGCAATAATTTCTCGGTTTCGTTTTTTTTTAATCCACCCTGTATAGGGAAGTAGCAAATAAACTATGTGTATGTCCTTCTAGGCTGTAACTGTTTCACTGTGGGAACCGTCTCGGCCTCAAACATCTGCAACAAGGATGCCACAGGCCAGTGCCCTTGCAAGAACTTCACCACAGGCCGCCGCTGTGACCAGTGTATGGACGGCTACTACGGCCTGGCTGCTGCCAATCCAGAGGGGTGTTTGGCCTGCTCTTGCGATGCCGGAGGGGCGCTGAGTGCAACCTGTGATAAGCAGTCGGGGGACTGTTCTTGTCGGAGTAATATTGAAGGGAGACAGTGCAACAGGTTGGTAGTTGATGCTTTTCACATTGCGTCAAAAGGAAATATTTGAGCTTCAGTTTTGGATCACATCACTCTAAAAGCACCAAAAGTGCTAAACTGACATGACTGATGTTGTTGGTCCATGCATCCAATCCCTTGATGAAAATCTAACCATGCATTAAAAAGATATTTTGAAACAATTAATCAAGTGTCACAGGTTTGACTTGTTGATATTTATGGACTTTGTGTTGTGTATGGCCTTGCATTTACCATTGGTCAAGGTCTCCCTTCAGATTCTCTATTCATCACAGTCACAACAAATTTTACCAACAGCCTAAAAGAAGTCAAAAAAGAGATGAGACCAAGCTTGATCAATAGTTATATATAATCATATTTTATTCATTATGCATTACAGACTTAAAAACCACATAAACACTGATGTGTGTGCTGATTTGGTATATTTTTTTTATGAATACTTCCATTAAATTACATCTGTTGACCAGTCACTAACAATGATCATTATTTCGTCAACAAACTCCCGAAAAAAAGGGTTTAATAGTGTCTTTCTGTATGCGCGTTGTTTTTCCAGATCTTCATGTACGTTTATGTTGCCTGTTCATTGGGATCGTCTGTCAAAATCGCTCAATGGGGTGATTTCGATGAATATGCAATGCATACGCAACGAACGAGTAACTGGAAAGGCGGTGATCATCTTCACCTGATCAAGTATTTCCAGCACTAATTGGATGTATTAGCCACCGTACAAACTTTTGTTGTGTTACATGTGCAAGTTTGTACTCTGCATTGAATGTTTATTCTTCTGAATTATTCCTGAAGAAATTAACAATGAAACCTTGACATTTTCTGTTGTGAATGAATTGCACAGGGTGACGGCATATTCCTACTACCCAAGCCTACACTCGATCAGCGCCGAGTTTGAATCCATCGGCCATGCTAACTGGGAGAGAGACGGTGTTAACTATCCCGGCTATAGCTGGTATGGCTACGTCACTCTTACAGGACAGGTAACTTTTAAACCATTGCCGGTTTGGAAAATTGGCGGCTAGCCAGCCAGATTTGAACTGGTTAAGTTGTTGAAGTTATCTATCTGCAGCCGATTTCACGTCATCTTATGCCTTGGTTTAAGGGTTCGGGCAACAAAATGACTGCACAGCTGTGCAAGAAACTTCCTATCAAATTTTACAGAACTTGGTGTAGCTGCCATAAACTGTTTAAATATTTAACATCCTTGATGACAATAAACACAGCTTTTACAACAGCTGTTTGTGTACAATTTTATACATACTGTTCATAATGTTCACAAAACAGTCTGTGAATTTCTTGTGTCAACTTTTTCCTGTATCAACAGTGGGGGTGATAACAGACTTCACAATGATCACAATTAGTTAAAAAGTCTGTTTAAGTTGTGATGCCATAATTATGCCACAGAAATGACTGCGTAAGTTAAGCCATTATTTGGTGCAGTAATAGAAAAATGTTGTGCAACTCACACAATTAAATGTGGTGCATGTTGAGTTTCATTATTGCGTATCATGAATTCGGCTGCTTCACTAAGCTTGTCAAAACGATTCTCACAAGCTCCCAGACAGGACTATGTATACAATGAAACTTGTGTCCTGAAGAACACAAATATTATTTTATTGAAATAGATTGAATGTACTCTCTATAGTTTTGCTAAACAGCATTAAATATGTGCAACTGATAAAGGAGATTTGCCTCCAATGACAGATGAAGGCACTGGTTTTGTTTACTGATTTATACATTTTATGTTTCAGATGTCCACCACAACAACCCTGTCAGTTCCCCCCTCCCAGTTGAGTGGAACATTCGAGATAATCCTCCGGGCAGCCAATGAAGGTGCAACCCAAGTGGACCTGACCATTACCCCAAGGGGCACGACCGCCGGCGACACCCAGCGAGGCATCGTGAGCCTTCCCCTTTGCGCGACCTGGTGCTTTGATGGCGTCGCACAAAATGTGGATGCGAGCCAGGGGTCAAGGTTCACGCTGGGCACCGGAGAGTGGGACGTGACAGTCACCGTGAATGTCCAGGGTGGGGCAAGAGTGCTTTTTGTAAGTTTTGTCGTTTCTTTGTTTTTTCACTTACCAATTTCTCCTTCTGATAAAATCTAACCATCTACTGGTGAATTTTCTTGGCAAAGTATCTGCCCTTTCGTAAGTTTTGTCGTTTCTTCGTTTTTTTCAATTAGCAATTTCTCCTTTGTGATAAAATCTAACCATCTACGGGTGAATTTTCTTGGCGAAGTATCTGCCCTAATTAACCCTCTATGTTAATAAACGCAGCAACATGCGACATAAATGATAACTGATATCAGTGCAGCAAGATTCACAGACTTTACACTGGTCGCACTGTGTTGTGTCTGGCAGGGTAAGCGTAAGTTTAAAGTTGCAAAAAATTAAAGACTTAAATATCAGTTAAATAAAAAAAAGAACTTGTCTTTAGAACTTACAGCAGGACTTTTCTTATCAGAACAAAAAGTACTTAGCGAAAGTTGATAATAAGCAGGACAAGTTCTTTTCAGAACTAAATATCTTCTAAGCAGTAGTTATTACCACATGGTGTTACTGCAAACCGAAACGATACCGATACTCCACCATGCAAAGCCTCAAATGTTATAATTTATTATCATGTATCAGTAAACTTAGTTCATCTTTACGTTATCCCTCTACCGCCCCAAAGCACCTGCCTGCTTATACCACCCTAAACTGCCCCAGTACTCTGTGGTTTTATGGATTCATCAAGGAGTAAATACAATGTAGTACAATGTAATACCAGTCATCAAGGAGTAAATACGGTGTAGTACAATGTAATACAAGTCATCAAGGAGTAAATACAGTGTAGTACAATGTAATACAAGTCATCAAGAAGTAAATACAGTGTAGTACAATGTAATACAAGTCATCAAGGAGTAAATACAGTGTAGTACAATGTAATACAAGTCATCAAGGAGTAAATACAGTGTAGTACAATGTAATACCAGTCATCAAGGAGTAAATACAGTGTAGTACAATGTAATACAAGTCATCAAGAAGTAAATACAGTGTAGTACAATGTAATACAAGTCATCAAGGAGTAAATACAGTATGCAGTGTAGTACAATGTAATACAAGTCATCAAGGAGTAAATACAGTGTAGTACAATGTAATACAAGTCATCAAGGAGTAAATACAATGTAGTACAATGTAATACAAGTCATCAAGGAGTAAACACAGTGTAGTACAATGTAATACAAGTAATCAAGGAGAAAATACAGTGTAGTACATTAATGTAATACAAGTCATCAAGAAGTAAATACAGTGAAGTACAATGTAATACAAGTCATCAAGGAGTAAATACAATGTAGTACAATGTAATACAAGTCATCAAGGAGTAAACACAGTGTAGTACAATGTAATACAAGTAATCAAGGAGAAAATACAGTGTAGTACATTAATGTAATACAAGTCATCAAGAAGTAAATACAGTGAAGTACAATGTAATACAAGTCATCAAGGAGTAAATACAGTGTAGTACAATGTAATACAAGTGTTGAAAGGGCTAATCCTAACTTTCTCTATCCATTTATGTCCAATCCCAGGATCAAGTTGTTGCCCTCCCAGTGGAGTTCAGTGAACCCTCAGCACTGCTCGGAGATGCCTCAGACTTTATGAGTGCTTGTGATGTCTACAACAATAACATGAGGTATTTTATCACAGATATTAACATTTTAACCCTAGCTCGGCTCATGATCAATCCACCAGGATCCAACTATGTTGCATTTTTCATTGGATCCGGTTGGTAGACCTTGCAATGTGAACTTAATCTGTTGGATTTATACTGCTCCACAGTTATAGTCCACATTTTGCTTGCAATCGGTTACATATCTGTGAACGGGCGCAAGCCAGTTAGTCCAACCTCGTCTCCAGTGCTTACTTTATTTCCAACGTTGTTTCCAATAGTAAACCCTGGATAGGAAACTTCCTTCCTGCATTCTGATTCGATACCGCAATTGGCTAGAAATGGATTTATATCGTGTACTTGGTGTTGTTATTCACAACGTGCAGTACGTGTTTTCGCGATCATTCGTCCACGCCTTCTCGAAAATATTCATTTCCTTTCCAGTTTGTTAATATTAATATGAAATGTGATACTGCATGTTGTCTCGTTAAGATTGTTACAGTTTAATTAAAATGAAATCATGTTTTCGTAACTCACGCCACGCTCGCGCTGCGACGAATTGATTCTGTTTTTACCCCAGACACCGCATACAAAAACAAACGCAAATGTAATGCACAGGCAGGCACCAGACTACTCCTAATTTGCATACGTGTTCAAAAATCTTGTACATGCAAATGATCCAATACCAGGGTGAGAGAGCAGGTAGTGGTGGGCGCGTACTGCTCGACACCCATGGGACGAGGTTGCAGTTAGTCTGGTTCCCTGACCTGACAATTCCCTGATGTCTGTAAGTTGTTCTGTTTCATCTGGAGCAACGGGACAAGGAACCAGACTACAAGAACAGCATTAATATTGTTTCTGCTCATTTTTCAGGCATCCACATGAACACAAAACTTTAAAGGGGAATATACAACATTTGCTTTTGCTCTGATTTAAGAAATATGGATGGATTTGGGGTCAAGTATTTCATGGCAAATATTGTTACACTGACTTGTTTGAATGTTTGTGTTCATAGATGCTGGAAAAACCAAGAAAAACAATCATATTCTTTGTAGCCTGGTTCCCTGAACCACTTCAGATGAAACAGAGCAATTAATTTATAAATGTTGAGGAACTGTTAAGTTGGGGAACTAGTCTAGCTGGCTTGTACCTGTTTATAGATGTGTAATCGATTGCAAACAAAATACGGACTAAATATGGTAAATTGGGGGCAGTATTGGAAAAAGCCAGTTTTTTTTAAATCATGGTCGGCCTACTATCGTTGGAAATTGAAAAAAAAACAGGTTCCATGATTTTCCAGGATGCTTCAGAGTTTCATTCACTAACTGCCCAGTAAGGTATTTCATGATAATTTGGTAGTTTGTTTTGTGATGTTTTGCAAATGTTGTATATTCCCTTTAAACGGGTCAGTGGAACAATATTTGCTATAAAATACTAACCCCCAAATTGTTCCACTTCTAAAACTTACAGCAAAAGCAAATTTTGTATATTGCCTTTAAGACCACAAATGCAATACAGTAATAGAAATTATACTATTTTACATGAACATGTACAGTGTATTTAAAAAAAATATTGGTTAAAATAAAACAAGGGAGAGCATTCTCGTATATGCATGTGCAGGAAAACCTTTGAAAGAATTTAGTGATAGCACACAATTTAGCTTTACAGTGTTTAAACACTAGTACAAATCTGTACACATTATGCTGCCTGCTTCTACAAGATTGAGTAGAGTAACACACTCAAGCTCTAAACTTGAACAGAAAGAAAACTTCTTTAAATATTTTTAATAACATAGCCTTTTGGCGACAGTTCGGGCAATTTCAAACATGTCAAAGTTTGTTTAAATTGAAATTGATTGGCACCATGTTATTACGAGTAAGTGCTAAATACGCAAGTTTGTTTTGTTGCGCTGTAATAAAAGGTCCAAAGGTTACCATGACAACATAGGTCTGTTTATGAAGGGTTGCCTAGGCAGTGGATCTATATATGGCACTGTGTGACGCACATCCAATTCCTCAATCTGGATAAACTAATTTTGTTTTTTGTGGAAAAAGAATTTGGCCTGTTAAGATTAAACATGTGGCCAGTCCTAGGGCGTTAACAGCTTTTATCTATCTAGCCCTAACAGCTTTTATCTATCTAGCCCTAGTATGGTTGGGAAATTGTAATTAATTTTCTGTAAGCTTCTGAATTGTGATGTCTTTAAAGCATGGAATTTCCCAAATGTGTGTTATTACACAAAAAAAAATCTGAGGTGTTTATACTACTGAGTTTGTACAAATTCAAGTAAAGAAAAGCCTTAATTAGAGAAATTCCTCCATCTATGATTTTTTGTACTTTTTATCGTAGAATTGACATGTCTTGTCCCAAATCTACCCCCCCCCCCCAAAACAAAATTATGTCTTTTGTATTGAGCTACTGCTGAAAGTAATAACAGTGGTTCTGTACATTCAGGTCAGCCCCGTCGCCAAAGGGGGGGGGGGGCCTGGTGGGGCTATGAGCCCCCCTTGGCAAGGCATTGCCCTCCCCCCTAACTAATTAAGTTCATTTTAGTAAACATGTATTTATATGCACATTAACCACATTATTGTGGAATTTCCAACACTCGAAAAAAAAAAAGAACCCTTACTGAAGTAATATTGTACCAATAACATGATTAAATAATCTTAAAACTCAATTTTAGTTGCTTTACCGTTAATACTTAAGTTTAAAAAACAAAAAATGTTAAAAGTGAATTGTACTTTAGTTTCACTAACACGAAGAAAATAAGTAAGACAATATCATTTAAAATTGAGTTAATGGTACATTTAAACGTTTTGGCTAGTATTACTCAAAAACAGATTCCTCACATGCACTTAATTTATTTATTTTATTGAGTAGATCAATATATTTTTTTAGTGCAGTTACACGACACATGGCCATTCTTTTTAGTTGCATTTCAGCAATTTTAGAGCATTCTTACGAAACATCTTGCTCGTGAGCGTGTATATAATTGGATTGACCCAACTGCAGCTGCTCACGGTAAAGTAAGACACCGCCTGCAAATAAAGAGCAACGGTACTGAAATCATAGTAGCATACGTACAGATCGCTAATGAACCTTGGCAGCCAGGTAATGAGGAACGTGAGGTTGACAAGCAGGAGCATCCTGAGTGCCTTCCACCCGGCGAAGGGTTTCAGCCGTTGGGGCTGGGGTTGTTGGTTGTCTTCTCTGCTGTTGCCTGTGGGAGCGGGTAGCTGCCGGATCCTCATTGCATGACGGTGACTTACCTTCATCAATTGTGCATAGATCCCGACAAGGATGGCATTCGGGAGAATGATGGTGAATGCTTGGAGGATGGCCCCCACAATGCAATCGATGCTGATGTTAGGATAGCAGCCAACATAGTCCAGGTACACGACTCCGTAGAGGCCTATGAAAGTCAGAGCAAATGCCATCGTGAGGGCAGACGCAACAAGTGTCGTCACGATGGCGCGTTTCTTGTTCATGAGCATTGGGTAGCGTAACGGACGCACAATGGCAAGACAGCGATCCACCCCAATGATGACCAACGTAGTGATGGACTCGATGAACAGCGCAAACTGAACGACGCTGTTCCCTTTGCAGATGAAAATACCGGCCAGGTTCTCCTCTGTTACCCTGATAATCAGACTGATCACATAAGTCACTCCGATGAGGAGATCAGTGAATGTCAGCGCCTGAATAAAGACTCTCGTCCCTTCTTGCACATCGGTGTCCGGCGTCGCTCGTATGACAAAGAAACTGAACAGATTGCCGGTGATGGCCAGGACACCTGTGACTGCATCAGTTGCTGTAGTGAAAGCAGTGCCCGGATCAACCGTTCCATCCCACCACGAATTGTTCATTCTCAAGAACTGGGTTTTTAAAGACACTTCCAAGGGTTTTTTTTTTTAATGAAAACTCCGTACACCCTCTACTACTCAGAAATCAGAATTCTCTGCTATAGCTTTGTTTTTCCTCACGTTGCTTTGTCACTCAGCCATTTGCAAACCAATCTTGAACATGGTCACCGCAGAAATCCTAATAGTAAGCAGCTGATAACGTTCTCCGTGGAACTGCTGAAGTGAATTTGAAAATCGCTGCATTAAAACGTTAATTCTCAGGAATCCAAGTTGCCTTCACAAAAAAAATAAACGCTTAGTTGAAAGGAGTAATGCCCAACGGCCGTCTTAGCGATCAAAAGAACTGTGCAATTCAGAGTACACACTGCCCGTGTTTTTATTCCGATAAGCTTCAAATTATCTGCCCAGAGTCACTGGTTGTAAGTGACAGTTTAATTGCCTACCATGCTTTCCACGCAGAGTCACTGGCTGGATTGGTGATCATGTTCAGTGACAACAGCCTTTCATACCCGTCTGATTGAGCTGGGTCAATTAGACAGTCGGTTCACTTAGGCAGTATTTACAAGTACATCAGGCAGAAGTTGGCTTGCTTGATGATGATGTCAATAATCAGCTAGCCTATGAACAGCAATCAGGCAGACTGTGGTTATAAACAGAATAAACACTGGAAGTGATTGATGGCTTAGGTAATTACGTGTTTTCTGCTCATGGACATTGTTATTAGACAAAACCCATTGCACGTTTATTGGCTCTTGGCATGAAACTTGTGCTGTTTTGATCGTCTTCAAAAGGCCCCTGACCCCTGTCTTTACCCCTGACCCCTGTCTTTAGAATGCATGACAAAGCCCAATGCACGTTTATTGGCTCTTGGCATGAAACTTGTGCTGTTTTGATTGTCTTCAAAAGGCCCCTGACCCCTGTCTTTAGACTGCATGACAGTAAAAAAAGTGTACATTTAAAGCATAGTTGCATTTATGTACAGGGTGTCACAAAACAAAGTTTACCCGTTTTGAAATGTAAATTATCAGAAATGTACTGAACATCTATGAAAAAGGCAACTACAATGAACAAGGCCAGAATGTCCTCTATCCAATGGTATTATGTTCTTTATGTCATTGTCATGGATAACTGAGCAAACCGGGCCTCTATAAAAGAGGTCAAAATCACTGACTAAACCACTTTGACCAATGCTTATTATGTCCATAATTATTGAAAGAATCCCCCACAAATTGTTGAAATAACATCTTACAATATCGAAAAAACGTGCCTCTGTGCAAACTGTGAGTGAACCTCAACAACTAAGCCAGAAGCCCCTACCCCAAAAAAACAAAAGTGGAGTAGCTGAGTTGAGTTGAGACGGAGGTTTGAATGTTCCATGAGCAAGCTGCTAAAGGATTTTATAATTTATATAGAAGGCCTTGTTGATTGGTTATTGGTTACTTATTGGTTATATATACAGGGTGTCTCAAAATAAAGCCCGCTGCACACGATACATGTACGTGCTGAGCAAAAATTAATTCGCGGCCGTTTGCTCAGCACGTAGCTCACAACATATCCCCATGTGCGGTCAATTTTTGCTGAGTTTTCTGTCTCGCAAGGCCGTTAGGCCAATATCTAACCTATTTGATTTCTTTCGCCCCGGTGAGGCCAAAAGCTCACCGCGTGCGGTCAACGTGAGCTACGTGCTGAGCTAAAAAGATAAACTAGCCAATGTCTGTTTGAGGCACTCTGTGATTTGTAATCCGTTGGCCTTGATCTCTTCAGCATACTCTGGTATTTCCACAAGCACTGGGTACATCGGCGTCAATTGGAGGGGGACGGAGGGGGGGACCAATTCACACTTATTAAAGTGGGGGGGGGGGGGTCATATCGTTTGGTCCCCCCCCCCACTTTTTCGTTCCCGAATAAAAATTGTAGCCTACTTTAATTGATTCTATTATGAGCTCAGAAAAGCTGATTCAATGACTCCCAACTTATGTTTAAATTATGTTTAAAAGGTGATTTCTGCTAAAAAAAATTTGGTTGTAGTGCTCAGAGATCACACCACAGGGGGGGGGGGGAGTTGCTCGCCAGAGTGGGGCTGCCTCCCCCCCCCCCCCCATCGAATTTTGCATATTTTTAGAACAATGGCCAAGTAACACTCGCACCTAATCAACAGACTTAAAAGTCAGAAACTAATTTTTAATACCTTTTTTTTATGCAGGATTGGCACTAGTCAAGAGTCCCTTTGCCTTGCCAGTGTGTTTAGTCTGACTGCGTTCTACTTTGATGGTGCCAAGCCGTGTGATTGTAACCCCATGGGTAGTGCCTCATTGCAGTGTGAGCCGTACGGTGGGCAGTGCCAATGCAAGCCTGGCGTAGGGGGCCGGACGTGCGATATGTGCCTGCCGGAGTTTTACGCCTTCAGAAGCACGGGGTGTACACGTAAGTTAATGTTGGTTCTTACTCCGATGCAAATGGAAGTAATTCTCATGTCATTGTAGACCTAAAATTTGCTGCAGGTGTATTGAACTTCTTTGAAATTTGCATTTGCTTTCGTGCAAATTATGGAGCAGACAGTCTTTGGTCACACTCTGCATCTTTGTTTTTAAGGAGGGGGATTGATATAAAAAGTGAAGAATTGACGATGACTGGAAACAAATCATAGACAGAACAGACTGTTTTAACGTATTAATTCTTTCACACAGTTGTATTAAAATCAGGAAATGGTAGTTTTTCATTTCTTCTGAGTTTTTTTAGGAGAAATTCAATAATAGAAGTTTTCGGTTAATTTTCAGGCACAATTTTGGGGATTTTCAGGCATGAACACAAATGGACAGTCTGGAGGGGAAAATCGATTTTTTTTTTTTTATCCAAAACTGCATAAGTTTGATGAATGCAGCTTATTTGCTGGGTGTTTTTTCATCATTAAGCATCATTTACATTTCAGTATTTTTGAGACAGACAGTCTTTTTTTTCCAGTTTTTTTATCAATTTAATTAGATAACCCAATTCATAAGATGAATTTTACGTCGGGGTGATGTAAATTCAATATTCCGCCTTGTCCTTCACCGACATATTTTTGTTGTTATAAACACAGCACTATCAGTGTTGTCAAGACTGAGTATACGGTGTTTATAAAAAAAGGTGAACAAGGCATTTAATTTACATCACCCTGATGCAAAATTTTTATGAATAGTTCGTTGCGATGCTTGCTGTTGTGTCAGATTTGGACCAAGCGGCCGGCACCAGGGTGCTCGGTGGTCGGGTGATGGGATGTCTGCACTGGTGGGCAGGAGGTCATGGGTTCGAGTCCCACCCGAATGAGTTCTTTTCCTTACAATCACTTGGGACAACACTGAGTATGTGGTGTTTATAAAAACAATACATCAGTGAAGGGCAAAACACAATATCGAATTGAGATTACCAATTTGAAATTGAGTTTAGTGAAAACTTTCATTGTTTTCTTTTCAGCTTGCAACTGTTTTGGCGATAACAAAGTCTGTGACATGACCACGGGACTGTGTGATTGTCCTCCCAACACGGCCGGTCAGAGATGTGACCGGTGTGTCATCTTTGCCTGGGGATTGGACAGCACTAATGGATGCCAGGTACTTGTCAGAAATTGTAACTCACTGCCTATCATATTGATGTGTTTAATTCACCTAGAATGTGTCGAAAGAAGACAAGGCTGGTTCAGTTATTGGATTTCTTACTTTTTTTGTGTACAGAAATAATAACGTTGAACAAAGGATGTTTGTAATTTCAGCTCTCGGTTATGGGACAATGTCATTGGTGATTTATTTGATGGAATCGGTGAAATGAACAGGCGTCCAATTTTACATCCATTTTCAGTCTTTGTGTTTCCGTCACTCAGGCAAATTTTAATAATTAATTTTTTAGCAAAACATGTCATCTTTGGCAGAAGATTGGGGAGGCCGGTGCCGTTGCTGAAGTTGCCAGCAATTGGATTTTTTTCCTATTGTCACTTCTATGTTTTTTGTGTGATTCTTGGGGCTCACCAAAATCATCATGCAGCCTCAAAAAGTCTCCCCTTTTTTAGGCAACCACAATCCGACGATAAATTTCCAATCATTTTTTCTGAGTTTTTTTGTGCAGAAATTTCATCAAATATTTTATAATTTTTTTAGTCTCTGTAGTCGTTCATTGACACTGTTTTCACCCCACCAGCTGTGCAACTGTCACATGTTAGGCTCAATCAACCCCCAATGTGACCAGACCAACGGTCAGTGTACCTGTCAGCTGGGGGTAGGGGGCATGAGGTGTGACCAGTGTCTGGACGGCTACAAGGAACTGACCGCTAGCGGCTGCACCACCTGCCAGTGTGACCTGGCTGGTAGCCAGGGGACCACCTGTGATAAATCAACTGGCCAGTGCCCATGCAAGGTGATTTTGTATATCCTACCCCTCCCCCCCCCCTCCCCCTCACCCCACCCCTCATAAAAAGGTGGATTTTTTTATAATTAAACGAGGGCCCAAGAAAGGAGTAAAGCGGACTGTGTTGTAAATAGATGCTGTAGGCAATTTATCCCTTTCTCTACATGGGTTCGTGAAGTGTTAATTAGAAGGGAGAAAAAGTGGAAAGTTTTCTCTTCCCCCAATAAATTCATTAAATAAAAAAAATTAAATAAAAGGGAAATGTTGCTCCCCCCTTCCCACTTTTCTAGTTTGCAGTAGTTTGTGGCCAGTTGGCTGGCTTCTTGGCGCCCCAAAATTTGGTGAAGGATCGGACAGTATTTTGTGTTGGAGAGTTATAAATTTATAATAGTTTGTTTTCTGCTTCAAAAAACATTATTTTACAACAACTGTATTCATTCTCATGTTGTCTGAGAGCATACAAGAAAAAATTGACAAGCTGGCTTGGGTGATATTTGGTTTTTTTTAGCCATATTGCAAATACTTTTAGGCAAATTCACTGAAAGAGGCATAATTTATAAAAATTTCAAACATAAATAAAAATAGTAACTTGAAATACAGTGAAATCTCGATAAGCCAAACTCTGATAACTCAAAACAAATGTTAAGTCAAGCAAAGAATCCATTCCCTTCAGTAGTATAACAATGATATACAACCCTGCTTATCTCAAAACTCTGCTTAAGTCAAATTTTGAACCTGTTAATACCCTTCCCTTGAGGTTTGACTTATTGGGATTTCACTGTATGTCGGTAGTGGTTAAAGTTTACTTTTGTTTATTCATCCCACAAGGATTTAACGGAGGATTTGACATGCGATCGGTGCGTCGCAGGAGGCTTCTATAATTCACCTTTACACCGTACTGGATGTCTGGAGTGTGTCTGCATGGGAGTCACTGCAGTATGCGACAGCACACACAATAGGATCAGTCAGGTAAATTTTTGATGCGCTACTCTTGAATTAACTCTTTCAGTGCCTGCGAAATTTGAAAAGTTTAACCCTAAAGTGCCCAAGCATACAGGTAGTACCTGAATGAAAATGATATTATTAGAAAGAGCGAGAGCGCCCCCTTGTGATAACATGCTTACTCTACCTCGTACATGTACGAGGTTTGGCGATTTTAAGTACGAACATTACCTCGTACATGTACAAGGTTGGCACTGTCAAACTAACAAATATACCTCGTACATGTACGACTTTGGCACTGAAAGAGTTAACTTGAGCATTGTACGGTTTTATGGATTCAATCAGTTTATACAATGTAATACATTGTAGTAATGGTTAACTTGATTTTGTGCATTGTGTAGTACACCATACCAACAGATGCCAGTTTCCTTGCCAATTGGACCTTGGTTTCGGACCTCTCTACACAAGCCGTGTTCCCCACTTCGCCCACTGCAGCACCCATCAACGACACTGACCTGATCACCGTGACAGTCCAAGCTGGGCAGGACGCCTACTGGGTACTGCCCTCCCTGACTGGCAATCTTCTGGGTGTATATGGGAGTCGCCTTCGGTTCTCCTTGCAGTACTCGGCCCAGGGTCCCCCTGAGTCTGCTGTAGCCAAAGAGGCTAGGATTTATATCAAGGTACAAGCTTGGACAGACAAGATATGATGACGACTTTTTTAAAACCCAATATGTACACACCGGACTCATGCTCTGGTGTTTCAAAGGCAGCAGAATGTGGGTTCGAGCCGGGGTCTGGAGACTTAAGCAAGGCACTTTTGCTTTGTCCTTCAGATGGGGCGTGAAGCTGTAGGTCCCGTGTGTTGTGTAATGCAATGCACGTAAAAGAACCAAGTAACACGTATCGCCAAGAGAAGGGGTAAATTTGCCCCGGAGTTTCTGGCCTCCTGTTAAAACTCCCTTGCGGAGTATTTAGGAGGAGAACCAACCAAGTACCAAGTACACAAAAAAGACACAAGGATTTAAAATTGAACTTTACAGAATATAGGGGCTATGCATTCTTAGTTGAAATGTTGAGAGAATGGGGAAAAGTAGATTTGCTTAATAATACTGGGAGGAAGATTGTTGCATTCATCTTGTTCATGCCAATTTTTTTAAGGAATACTGAATAGCTTGTTAACCCTTGCTCTTTTTGTGGGATTTGCCATCAGAGTTCTTATCTCTGGTCAGCAGTAGTCCTGATATGGATGGATTAGGAAAACCTAAAGGAGCTAACTACAGGCTTGGTTTTGGTCTGGTTATTGCAAGCGAGTTTTACTGTAGCAGACGGTGGATGGCAGTGCAATTTTTTTTTTATAGATGCAGGGAAGTTAATTTTGGCAAATACTGAAGTAAATCAGAGGGTGTGATAGTTAAGCTGTGATGAAACTCCTTGCATAAGTCTGTATTGTACATGTGAAGAAAACACATGTCAGCTTGTATGTTTGTACCAAACTTAGTTCCCTGTGCTAAAAGGATTCAAGCTTTAACAAGGCAAACTCAAAGTGGTCGGGGTTATGTCGGCAAAGCAGGCTTTAGAATCTAAAGGAAATTTGACCCTCGATATCTGCATTAGAAGTGAAAGTAAGCAATCATTTTTTTGTCTCTCCACAGGGCCTTGGGAATACGTACGTGCACAGTCTGCGAACTGTGCCTTTGGATGATTTGCAAGCGTTTTCCATCCAGATTGCAGAGACCGAGTTTCTACATGAGGGCACCAGTGCACTTGTGAACCGGTCAGAGTTCGTGCAGACCCTGAGTGCTGTGGATGGGATTCTGGTATCGGCCTCGCTTACTGTCGTGACCCACCAGTCCAGGTAGGCTTGATTGTGGAACAGGCCCTGTACTGTCACTTACCTGTTGCTTTTAGTGTACAAATCCTCTGCTGTACCACAAAGTAATGTATCGTGTGGACAAAGTCCATAGACGATATGTGCACTTTGTGGTGCACCTGTGGCCGGGGGTAACTAAAATCAGCCATCGCCTCAAGACTGGTTATCTCACACTACTTTCCTTAAATAAATCATGTTTTGGTAATTGTACCTCATACATATTCATCTTCCTAATCAAGACCGGTAATCTCACACTACTTTCCTTAAATAAATCATGTTTTGTTAATTGTACCTCATACATATTCATCTTCCTAATCAAAAAGTGGCAAATTTCTGTGGGAAATCACTCCCACTGTATGCATATATAATAATTCATCTGTTGTGGAGGTTTAAGTAGGGTGCCTCGAGCAGCCTCATTTTCGATCGCTACCGTTACAAACTTGATGGTCTGGGAGCTGATCTCAATAAACACCTTTGTTTTTAAATAATGAAAGGTTTGCGGAAACACCATGTGCGAATAATTTCTCAACTAAGAGAATGGTTCTGAAAAGAACCAGAGGTATAAACTCGACGTTCCGGTCAGTATGCTCTGACCGTCTTCAGGAGATGCTCTGACCGTCTTCAGTCTCCTGAAGACGGTCAGAGCATACTGACCGGAATGTCGAGTTTATACCTCTGGTTCTTTTCAGAACCATTCTCTTAGTTGAGAAATTATTCGCACATGGTGTTTCCGCAAACCTTTCATTATTTAGTATCTCCACCATGCAAAGCCTCAAATCTTACTTAACTTTGTTTTTCATGTCATTACAGTATTGGTGAAGTGTCCTACTTTGAAGCAACGGGTCCAGAGTCTCCCCTGTACGACCCGTTGGCAATGAGGGCGCTCTCCGTAGAGCAGTGCAGCTGTGGGGATGGGTATACTGGCTATTCATGTGAGGTAAGAACAATACTTCAACTAGTCCCTGCTTTCGTAAGCAAGCAAACAAGCAAACAAGAAGTGCCATTTGTTGAATAGTAATAACAATTAAAAAAATTAGAATGGGCCTTATTCACAAGTCGGCCATGTTGAATTGAAAGTGAGGAAAAATCTTCATTTTTGGAACTTGCGAAGAGAAATGAAAGCAAGTACATTACTAAATCATTCAAGTCTGCTTCAATGAATAATCTTTAATTTGTAATTAAATATTCGCTAATGTTTTAAGCCAGATTAAAAAAAAATGAAAGTAAAATAAGGCTGCATAAATAGTGTGGCGCTATCGCATTCAACAGTTAACAATTTATGAAATACATTCAGGGAACACGACAAAAATGGCTGCCTCATGAAATCCTTGTAAGTGATTAAGACCTTCTCTTTTTTCTGATATATTTTGAAGGGAAAAAAAGCAGTTGGCAAAATTTAGTAGACGGAATTCCAAGTAATTGATCTTGTTCTTTCTCCTAAAAGTTTACGAAACAATTTGATAAAGAGCTCAGATCTGGTAGTAATTCAACAGCAAAGTTTCAGATATATGAAGTGTTAGGTACAATTCATCAGCGTTAAAAGGTTTAAAACTTTTGCAAACTGGCAGTGCTAATATTATTAGGTGTGACATCATCACAAAGTTGCGTTTTTGACTCACATCAATTATGAACCAGCATTTACCGAATTGGTTGTGTACAGTTTAACTTGTAAATTGATGTTGTCGGTGTTTTCATGAAGCAACAAAAAAGCTGGAAAATAGATAATTTTTGATTTTGAGTTTTGCTGGCCATTTTATTACACTTGACACAAAGAACAATTTGATCAAGTTTCAAAACGAACTTTTGTTTAAATTTTTAATTATCATAAACAAACATTTGACAAAAAGCTTGAACTCCTTGTTTCTTTTGTGTTTACGAAGTGACAAAAAGTCATGTCACTAGCAGGGCCAGAGGGATCATACATTGTCGGGATGGGGGTGGTGGACGCACGCTCGCGAACGATGTTGAAAAAGAACATTCGCGTGTCGTATGATGCATAAAAATAACAATTTCTCACAACTTTTTTATGTTTTCACAAAGAGACTACGGACTGTGTACGAAGTAATGGGAAAAAGTGGAGGCATCAGCGTATTTCTGTTTTCACGAAGTGTAACTGAGTTTTTTTTAATGAAGAGAGACTTTATTAATGAGTTTTTATTAATGAAGAGAGACTTAATTAATGAGTTTTTATTGATGAAGAGGGACTTTATTAATGAGTTTTATTAATGAAGACAGACTTTATTAATGAGTTTTATTAATGAAGAGAGACTTTTAACAAACAACTTTGCATTTAATAGCAAAGAATCAAAGCATGCGTTACTTGACAGTGTAAAAATGTCCCTAATCTGTATCTACAAACTTGTCCAAAATGTGTTTTGAAAACAGTATTACTTCAAATACGATTATCTCAGAAGGGATGACCCTTCTGCAGGATATAGAGGTTTTTGTCACTTCATGAAAACACTTTCAATATGCTGGGTGAACTTAATTGTCAGTGCTTTTTTATTCATTTAAATTTATTTCCATTCTAAGTTCTATACCTTTTTACCTGATTAAGGATTGTGCTGCTGGTTACCGTCGATTCAATGTGACCGGCCATCCGTTCTTTGGACAGTGCGTGGCGTGCAATTGTAATGGACACAGCGGGTCATGTGACCCTCTGACTGGCGAGTGTATGGAGTGTAGTCATAATACCATGGGTGAGACATTCATAATTCATGTAATTTCTTTGTGGGGGAATTATTTGTCTGTTTAAATCTATAAAGAGGTTGTGGAATGCTCGGACACATTTCCGTCATTTTTCGGGTATATGTAGCCTAAGGTGTGATGAAATAAAAACGACTATTGTGTCTGTCATGAAATGAGTACAAAAGGTACTTTTGAGAGCTGTTTTTCAGGTCCTGTTTCGACCTGAACGTGCAATTTGGGTAAAAGTCGTCGTTGCGGGCGGCAAACAAAACATAGTAAATCGTGACGTAATAAACAGGACTCCCGATGTAGCGTAGTATAAACGAGTCCTGTTTATTACGTCACAATTTTTCTCATTTTACGAAGAACTCGACTACTGTTGATTTCAATTATGCGCTCGCCGACCAACAAATAACTCGATGAACTTCAGTTTTATAAACATATAAACGCACATTACAAAAGAATGGGACTTTGTCATTATGATATATATGGGTCTACTCTACAATAAAAAAATATAAAAAACAAAACGACTTTCAGCATTCCACAACCTCTTTAAAATAGTTTAAATGTCTGGATATTACACTGCAATATTTAACAGCTTATGAGAAAGGCAGTTAAGTTTGCCAATTCTTGCAGTGTTCTATTAAGTTTTTCGTTATGATGGGGCAGCATAATGGTAAAGGGTTTGAAAAATTTGACTTTAAATTTAAACAAAAGAAACTCAATTTGGACAAATTCACTCCTTAGTTACTTCTCATGGCATTTTTTTTTTCCACACCGTTTCACAGGTTTTAACTGTGAGAGTTGTGCTGATGGTTTCTATGGCGATGCTACCAATGGTACAGCCAATGACTGTTCCATGTGTCCTTGCAGCCCACCCCAGGCTCAGACTACCTCGTGCTCAGTGATTAATGGCAATGTCACATGCTCAGCATGCAACCCTGGTCATCTAGGACCACTGTGTAACAAGTAAGAATCATCATTTCCTCTAAGATAGATTTCATTCACTTAGTCGGTTTCCCTGTGTGATTCATGTGAAAATTTGTAACAAAAAAGCTGTATCCTCTCCGAGTGATCCCCGTTTGCTATTTCCCAGGTCTGTATCATGACTTTGGGTGTGATCCCTGGCTGTGTGGCATACTGGTTTATGGCTTCTGAATAGCATCCCTTGGACAAAGATATTGACTAATTGAGGAGCCACCAACACAGGGCTGGATAGCTCAGTTGGTAGAGCACCGGAACGGTTATCCGGAGGTTGCAGGTTCAAACCCCGCTCTAGTCAATTGTTTGCTCAACTTTTCAATTGTTTTAATTCACCTTATCAGTTTCCCTGTGTGGTACATTTAAATATTTGAGATATGATCTGACTGTTATTGACTAGCCTGTGTAAAAGGCGTGGCAGGGGTAGCTAAGAGGATTGAATTTTTGACTGTCTGTGACTGTTCAAACAGCAGGAGGGTAAAGGCCTTTGGTCTCTGTGTTGGTTTGAACACCTCAACCACCCTCTTTCGAAAATTTGGATCAGCCACTATTTGTTAATTAATACCAATATGGTCATTAGTGTGGGGAAATGGATTATGAATATACATGTAGTACCTTTAAACTGAGATCTAAACTGCTGCTTTAAGGCAATTGTTTACAGCGCGCACATCACCTCGGGTGCGGTAGTCGCCTTCCGCCAAACAAGAACTAGTTCTGGATCATCCTATGTTTGTAACCCTTATCTGATGTATAATTCATCTTTTGGTGATAACCCTATGTGAATTGAGTTAAGACAACAATTTTGTTAGAAGACTTAGTTGAAATCAAGGGATAATGCAGATTTACTCGCATGGAAATGGCCCATGGTAAATAAGTTGTTAAGTAATACGGCCTCTTTCAGCGTCCCTAGAATGGCGTGAGGAAAAGGGCTCACGACCACTAGCTCAGAGACATTCCTCCATGATCACATACATGTAGTACAGCCAGGGTCCTGTTTTACTGAAGGCTCAAGCCTAGTGTTGGGGGTTTTCTTTTCGTAGTCAACAAACAATAAAACCGAGACAGCAAGTTACAACCAAGAGTTGGCGTGTTATATTTTTTGGACAAGGCCTACTGCTCCCTGACCCGGGATTCACATCCCACACCGTTGATTCAGCGCAAGCTGACAACACCAAGTTGTCCCCCATCGTGGGATTTACTACATTAGGATTGTCAATATCTGCTGGCAAGGCCTGTCCATGATTGTACATGTAAAGAGATATAAAGGTCACTTGAATGTCATTGCCCCTATCTGCGATTAACTCCGATGACCTGTGTTAACTTTACCACATCTCTGGTTGCGTCCTTTGAACAGCTGTGATGCTTTCCACTTTGGTCAGCCGAATCTTCCGAATGGCTTCTGCATGCCTTGTTTCTGTAATGGCAACACGGAGGAGTGCAACACAGCCACTGGCCAGTGTTTGGCCTGTGGGTCACGAACGACGGGGTTCAACTGCGAGAGGTGTCAGGATTTCACCTTTGGAAATGCCTCTGTGCGCAACTGCCAAGGTTTGTGAAAATTATACGGTGATTTTGACAATTGACTTGCCTTGTGTCTGCAGCAGTTAATCAAAAACAGTTTTTTGCTAGATATTGATCAGTTGATATGATGAGATCTTTATCCTCAAACTGAGTCCAAGAGGTACTTCTGCTTCCATGCACATATACGGTTTGTAAGTGACTGCATCACACACACGTGCATGTACCACTAAGCGCCCGTTGGCTAAACACGCCACTTTGTACTACTTCTGGTTCTGATGGTTCTAATGGTACTCGTTGTGCAGTGGCACATGATTAAGTTGAAATGACTTCATATACCAACCAGGATGGATAAATCCATTGACCACAAGTTGAAGCCATTTACTGAGATGGCACATGTGGATTTTGGCAAGTCCTGAATTGGCCTTGTGTAAACCTGGCAGACTTTGAGGGAGCCTAAAACCACTTCGGTGTTGTCTAACTGACGTCAGAAATTGGAATATCTAGTAATCCAAAGAAGTACCCGAGATACTTCAAAAGGCCATGCATTAACATCTTGGACATAGAGAATTTATTGTTACAATGATAACGTTTATCTAAAAATTCTAAATTGAATAAGCAATCTCAAATTAACCTTGATTAGGCACTAACCAACTTTAATCAATTGTTCATTACTAGCAGTTCACTTCTACGTGTGTGACTTCTGCAAATCGAAAATTGAATTTGAATGTGGGTAATCTAAGGGTCGTTTCCTGAAGGTAAATCCGCGAGGCCGTGGCAAGTGTTCTTACCACAAATTTGAAATTGAACCTTTTTTTTCTTCAAGATGTCAGGAAATGTGAACCGTCCCATGAAGAAATTTACATTATTTTCTCCTGTTTTTTCCCTTTCAGATTGCAACTGTGACTCTGCGGGTTCCACTAGCGACCCCTGCCACCACTCCACAGGCCAGTGCCCCTGCCTCCCCGGTGTCGGTAATCGACGCTGCGACGTCTGCCTGCCCAACTTCTACAACTTCTCATCCGAGGGCTGCCAGGCATGCCAATGCAATGAGTTTGGCTCGAGCAGCCTGCAGTGTGGTGAGGATGGGGTCTGCTCCTGCCAGGGTAATGTTGTTGGGGAGAAATGTGACCAGTGCCAGCTGGGTTATTTTGGGTTGCCTCAGCAGCCATGCACAGGTAAGCTGAACTCCATACATATCGTTTGTGTTTTCAGGAAGTGAAAAAAACTTGGAAAATCGATAATTTTTCAATGTTGAGTTTTGCTGGCCATTTTGTTGCACTTGACAACAAGAACAATTTCACCAAGTTTCAAAGCGAAATATTGTTTACTTTTGTAATTATCATAAACAAACATTTGACAAAAAGCCTGAACTCTGTGTTTATTTGTTTTCACGAAGTGACAAAAACTCACCTCGTAAGCAGGGCAAGAGGTGTGTTATCTGCACGTGTTAAGATGGGAGCGGACGCGCGCCCCCGAACGATGTTGATCAAGAACAGATGCACACACTCTGCACGTGATAATGTAGCAATTCTCGCAACATTGTATGTTTTCAGGAAGTGATAAAGAGTGTGTAGAAGGAAATGGCAAAAATAATAGTGGCCTCTGCATGTTGCTGTTTTCACGAAGTGTAAACTATTTTTATTAATGAATCACTGTTTAATTAAGAGAGACTTTTAACAAACAACTTTGAATAAGCAAAGAACAAAGCCTACATAACTTGACAATGCCAAAATTACCAAAATCTATAACAACAAACTTGTCGAACATGTGTTTTGAAAAAAAGGATCAACAATCCAAATGCGATTATCTCGGGATCACCTTTTTTGCAGGATATTGAGTTTTTTGTCACTTTGTGAAAACACCATCGATATGTACAATTGTAGTGTGACATATCAGTAGTAAAAGTGAACTGATATATGATCAAACCAACACATTCTTTTTAAACATGCAAAACCTCGGCTAATTTCATGGCAAAATCAGAAAAAAAGTGTTTAGTGCATTTCGTGGGTTAGCATGGAATTTGCACTTGCAGCATAATGTGCATCCTGTACGTAAGGATTCTGTGCTTACAGGATTAGCGCAGAATTTATTTGCTAGTGCTATTTGGAAAGGAATGGTGACCCTTAGTTCAGAATTCTGCGGTTGAAATTTGGACCAGGACTTAAAAGCAATAAATTGCAACAACTTTTTGTAAGATGGAATATGTGTCGGGATGATATAGATTCAATATTGGGTTTTGCCCTTCACTGACATATTTTTATAAATGTGAGCAATGCTCTTGAAACAAAACACACGCAGAATGGTCAATTCCTTATTTAAATGTAAACGTTTCAATTATGTTACTCTATAATAACCATTATGTACACTCGATTTCACAATTCACAGCCTGTGATTGCGATGTCATCGGCTCAGAGGGCGGGGCCCTAGCCTTTTGTGATGTCATCACTGGTCAGTGTCCGTGTAAAGTGGGCGTGGGCCCACGTCGTTGTGACCAGTGTCTGCCGACGTACGTCAACTTCACTGACACAGGATGCAGCAGTAAGTACTCCATGTAGAACCTTACCCACTTAACACATGTGCTACATTGTATTACATTGTATTTATTCCCTGGTGAATCCACAAAGTAATGTGGTGCTGGGTTAGGATGGGGCAGGGCAGGGCTCCTTAGGGCGGTACATGGACTAACAGGTTTATTGGACCTTAACCTTTTTTGAGAATTTCCTGAGTTTCTTAACCATCTACAGATTTTGAAAAATTACTTTGAAAACCAGGAACCCTTTCATAAAACTTATTATTGCTTGTGATAGGCATGATGATATGAACTGGCTATTAGGCCAACAAAAAAAATAAGTTGGTTTCTGGTCAGCGCGCGCGTCGATTTTAATCGTGCGCGTCGATCTTTTTTTTTTCCAAAATGTTCCGCGGTAGCTCCAACAGCGCCCTCTATTTCCGCACCTCCTCAATTTGTTTAACCAAAGAGCACTAAGGAATGGGAAATTGCACCAAGGCAAATGATCGAAAGCACCAAGGCAAATTATGGAGGACACTAATGTACATGAGGACACCAAAAAAGCAAAATAGTACCCCACCTTGTCTGTACAATTCAAGCTTGAAGGAAAAAAAAAAAAGCAAAAAAAAAAAAAAAAAAGCCGCGTTGCCGCGTCAATTCCAGAACTTTGGTCTGACCAGAGACCGAATATATTTTTTTTTGGGCCTTAGGTATATTAAACTTAAAACGTAAATCTACCACCTTTTTTATGGTCAGGATGTGATCAGTGCGTGGACACACTCCAGAACTCCACTGTGGACCTCAGTGCCCTCTGGACGCTCCTGTGGGAACAGGCAAGCCTCCTGAATGACCTCCAACAGCGGGACTCGGAGCTGGTGGTCCTACGACCCCAGGTCACTCAGACCGTGACCCAGCTCAACGCCACCCTGGCCAGCTTTGCCGGGCTGAGGGGTCAGATCCAAGGCATCGATGAGCAAGAGTTTGTGGCAAAGGTGGACGGCCTTGTCCTGATGGTGAGTTGTGTAAATTTTCCAACCAAAACAGAGTTGAAGAGTGGAATCTTTATTAAACTCTCCTGTGAAATTCTTGCATCCGGTTTTATTTGTCGATCATTACAGCTTTGGTAACAGAGAAGTTTTGCATCCGAACAGATATGTGTACGCATAGTTATCTGTGCCTGTTTTTATCGAGCATTCCGTTGTTTTGCATTGTGTTGGCATAGGCATATAATAGTTATGAGAACTGTTTACCAAAATGGCAGCATCGAAGACAAAGATAAAAGGCACATTCATCATCCTCTATTAAATCAAATCATATATGATTAAATAATCTAGCACATATGAGGATGGAAATTGATGGGTGGCGAGCAATATATCCTTGCAGTGTACACGCATTGCCGATAGCCAGTTGGGTACATTTGACGTCCCAAGACCACAGGCAAACCGATGACCCATCTGACGTGCTAACTGTATCCGTTCATTTGCGAAACCTCTCTATTGTACCCAAAAAAAACAGGATCACTTTGGGATGCACTGTTAACCCTAACCTTCCAAGGAATTTTGGCTAGAAACCCTGCCGAATGCACCAACATGCAACACCTATCTAAAATAATGACAAGCCTGCCCAGTGCAGATAGATCACTCAGGCCAAAAGTCTCAAGGCCAAACTGCCTCAGAGTCTTTGGTCATCCAACACAGCAGGATACAACAGAGGCATTGTTCAGTGGGACTAGCTTTCATTGTTTCAGAACTGGCCATTAATGCACAGGTGATATATGGTAGCTGAATGCATCAAAGTGCACCAGACTTTTCCACCTGATGCACTGTGTTGCGTCTGGCAGGGTTAGGTTAACTAACCTATTGTTTGTGAGACAAACAAAACTGAACGTACGAAATTCCATGTGGTTGTCTAATGGGCGTGGCTAACTCGCAGACGGCAATAGCTCACTTGATATCTAGGAGCTAAATTGTGGTTGTTAGTTCCCTACTACTACTCACCAGTTGTGAGCTCAGGTTTAAGGCCAAAAAAAAAAAGTCTCCGGTTTCTGGTATGCGCGCGCGTCGCCGTAGCCATGAGCGTCAGCAAAATGAAAAAGTTTTTTTTTCAATGAAAGATGATGTCTCAAAACCGCCAAACTCACTGGTTTGACTGGAATCCTGCTGCTGCACAATTTTAACGTATATTTAGATGGGGTTATGGTCGAGAATAAGCTTTATGTGGCCTATCTGGACTCTCATATATTTGCACTAAGTTTAGTCGGGCACCATTTGCAGTCATCAGCCGACATTTGAAGCAAGAATATCAGGTAAGCCGCGTCACCGCACCACTTTTTGGGCAAGCTCCATACCAGAAACCGGAGACTTTGCATCCGGAATAGCCACTTTTACTTCCCTGAGGCTTTGGAACATTGAGAGAAGTGCATTGAGCTCACAGAATATATAAGGTGTAATAAATAAGTTTTACTATATTTGGATACAAAACAGGTGGGCCAAGCCATGGAGGACTCACAGATGCTCCTCAACAATGCCACTATCCAGCTGGAGCGCGTCCAAGCTCTGCAAGCCCAGGCCGAGTCTGTCCTGGAGGGAGTCCGTCAGGCCAACCAAACGGCTCGAAGTCATGTAGGTACCTTGGGTGTGTGGAACACCTCGGCCACCTTGCTGCCTGCCATGGCCCAGGGCAAGCTGGATGGGTTGACGGTGGTGTCCTTTGATGAACAGGAGAGGCTGATCAGGGCGGAGCTGATGAGAAGCCAGAACGCATCACGAGATGCTGAGGCATTGCTGACCACGATCACATCACAGGTAGGCATTGCTTCATTTTCATTTCAGCTTTTGCCGGTCACATCATTTCATAACTGTTGAACCGGCAAAACTTGGTAAATAAAATGTACATCTTCCCAACTCAAAATTTCACACATGTCTGTGTACACAGCCGTACATACGTGTACTTGTGGGGAAGACCTTGTTTCCCTTCTTTTGTTTTCCTTTGTTACTATTGAAATCTCGAACTCCATAGTGTTTCCCTTATGGGGCAGATAGATTTCTAAAGACTTCCTTATGGGTCTGTTGTTCTATTGTGTTTTCTACCCCATGAGGAACCATGAACATGTACAGTTTGCACTGCCTGCGTATAAGTGACCATGATTGCATCACATGTATATATGCACTGTTTTATTTTCATGATGGATTTTGACCTTCTCCAATGTATTTTTACTTCGTTGAAGTCCAAGTACATTAAACAAATTGAAGTTCATTTATGTTGTTGGAGTTAGGGTACTTAAAACTTTCAATCATTTGCCATATTGTCAGTGCAAATGCTACAGAGTACCTATATTACAAATAGGAAACCCTATTGTTTCTACAAAAACCTTGTTCGTAGAGCTGAAGGTAGCTCAACTCAATACAAGTTTTTTTTTTAAAGTTTCTCTGAAATGATTGATTCTTTTTTGCAGTCATCAGCCAGCAATGACTTAAGTGCCACTGTTACCTCAGCAGAGTCAGAGTTCCTAGCCACTATGCAGATAGTGACTGACACCCACACATTATTAGACGATATCGAAGATACGCTCCGACAAATTGGGTCCGTCATTAATCAAACCGAGGTGAGATTTCTTGACATAGTTGTTTGATTTCTCTGTCTTGCTCATGGCACATTCAAACTCAAACCACCTATCATCAACATGCTTGTCACTGTAACATACAATGGATTTAAAATCACACAAGTTAGCAATTCAAGTACATGTTATCGTAATGTAGAATGTAAAAATCAATATAGGTTAAAAATAATAATAATAAACAATTCTTATATAGCGCAATATACATACGAAATGTCTCTATGCGCTTCTGAAAGCATTAAAAAAGTGTGTCTTAAGTTGTGAATTTTCCAAGGTCAGGCTGATCTTTATTTGGTGAAGTAATTTATTCCATTCTTCTGGTGCTGCATAATGAAATGTCCGTTGGCCATAAAATTTGGTATGAACTTGGTTTGGTTAGTGTATCAAAAAGCTTATATTTTGCAATTTTAATTCATACAAAGAATGACTTCAAATGTCTCTTTAGTTTGTCATTCCCTACAACCAAAGCAACTATCAGATGATGCATTCACAGCCAGTCATAGGTGGCAGAAGTGGGATCAAGGGGACATTTGCTTCCCAACTTCTTGAAAATGTTTTCTTCGCTCGCCTACTTTTTCGTTACCCCACTTCAGAAATGTATGTCTTGTGCCCCTCCACTTTCAGAAATGCTCAGCCGCCATAGTTACTATACCAGTGGTGCAAATTTCATTTTTTGTTTACCAATTTGTCAATAGTTTGTTGTTGGTATGCCAAGTTTTGTTGCCAGCAACTTTCTATCTCTAATTGTTCCCCATACACTATCTACACAGACTCAGTTGAATTATTCCAGCCTGCTGCTATCGCAATCCCAGTCAATTCTTCAGCAAATTGAAACCACGCTTACGCTCAGTAGAGCCGACATCTCTGATGGAAACCAAGCCTTTGCAGATACAGACATCATCAGACGGGGAGCTGCTGATGGTGCAAGTGGGGTGCCAGTGGACCCCAGCATTGATCAAAAAGGTTAGAGGTGGATATTTTATAAAAAATGGTTTTATTGCTTGTGGCCCTTTGACAGAAACAAACAGCAATCATTGTTCAGCAAGGTTAACGATTCAACATCAGAGACATGCAATCAACTTAGCTTGTTGATTATCAATCACTGGTAGGCTAGGGTTTTCCCCAAAAATATTGGCTTCATCTCCATTTTCTGCTTAATCCTGGCACAATAGAAAATTTGGAATTCTGAATCGCTTGCCTTAGTTAGATTAAGTTATGAACTAAAACAATATACATGTGATAATCCATCTGATAAATTTGCTTATTACCACTTTGATATCTCAGCTCTATGAAAACACTCTCAACTTGGGCTGCATATAATGGGATTTGATGTTCTTGAAACCAAACAGGTACCTAAAATCGTCCCTGTTTTGACGAAGTGACGCATCCGTCCAAAACTGAGATTTTCTGAAATCTGATATTTTTGGATATTCTAGCATTTTATGATTTCTTCTACACGATTACCAAATTTTGAGACACAACATTCAATCGTTTGTTAATTACGCTAATTACACAAAGTTTTGAAAGTGCTACACACTAAGTTTTTCATTTTGACGAAGTGCCGAATCTCTATTTGTCACTTAGTCTCATTGATTTTACACGTGTTCTATATTTAGAAATATGAAGCCTCCATGATTTGCGTTTTGACGAAGTGACACATCTGCATTCTAAAATGTATACATTGTATATATGCGCACGCTGTGTACAAACATATGCCTCGTTTTTGTGAAGAAGTAGATTTTCTGTTTTGACGAAGTGACGGGATATCTTTAGTAATTAATATCTTCTGATTAAACACGATTTTATGAACAGAGAGAATTGTTTTTGGCTATTTAACTCCTGGGCTGTTGTCTCAGTTATATATTTTTCAAATCTGGGGGAGAAATGTACACAAAAATGCAAAATTGAAAAATCCACCAACTTCAAACACAATTTTCTCAAAACTAGGTTTTGCATCTGTGTGCACAGATGCGTCACTTTGTCAAAACGGTGACGAAATTAGCCAGAATCCCCCCTTCCCCTGTCAGGCATTTCAAATGTCCTGGCGCTGATGCTGAAAACAAACCAATCGTTGGGAAAACCTCTAATAAATTATGTTCTTTAAGAAACTGCAGAAAGAAGAAGAATCTTCAGATTAGAATCAAATGCTCCTGGGTATAAGAAGTCTTACATGCCCTGCCTTCTTGTTTTTTTTAAAGGTCAGAATGGTTGGATCAGTGCCCACTCCGCTGCTCGGACCTCAGACATGGTGGTAGCCAACCTGCAGCCTGTCATTGAGACTGACGTCCTGAATGCTGAGAGTCACGTCCTCACTCTCACCTCGGCAGCACAGGAATCAAGCAGGTATGTCATTATAACAGTGTGTGCACTAGGCACAGCAGGCACTGTGCCTGGGGCCTGAAGAAAAGTCGCAGGGCAACAAACAAATTGTGGGCCTGCAAAGAATTTGAGGGCCTACAAAAAACACACACAGGTTCCACTAACAAATTGTGGGCCTGCAAAGAACTTGAGAGCCCTACCAAAAACACACACAGGCCCCACTAACAAATTGTGGGCTGCAAAGAATGTGAGAGCCTACCAAAAACACACACAGGCAAACAAATTGTGGGCCTGCAAAGAATGTGAGGGCCTACAAAAAACACACACAGGCTCCAATATAGTGTGCCATCAAAACCAAAACCAAAAGAGAAACTCCAGCTAGCCTCCTTTACATCTAAAGCACATTGTAGCCGTCTTTTTGTTTTTGGTGTAGAAATGGGACGAGTTTCATAAAAGTCTGACGCGTGGAGCCAACGATGAGTTGAATCTGTCCCTTGTTGGATAGCTGGCAAACTGTGGTAGGCTGTCGCTGCAAAAACAAAACAATAATTAGTAAATTGTAATGCTTGTATAGTGCTTTCCATTGTATCAACAATGTCAAAGCGCTTTACAATTATTCCCCCGTTTATCAGGCCACGAGACCATGCGGCAGCCAATATCAGCACACATTCAGTCCTCTACCCTCATAGGTACCCATTCATACTGCTGGGTGGAGAACTGCTGGACGCAATTGTTGTTAATTGTCTTGCCCAAGGGCACAAACACCATGTTCCTGGCAGGGTTCGAACCCACTTACCATTGTATGTGGGTTTGAACCCACGTATCATTGTACATGCGACAAACGCCGTAATCACTGGAGCATGGCATTCTTCTCAAGTATATATGTCACACTGCCATCCAAAACACTGAAGAATCAAAAGAAACTGCTGAAAACTAAATGAAAATCAAAGCAATTTGAACTTATTTAAATTACTCCTTTGTAATTCCCCTACTTGAAGATTGTTTGAAGGAGCCCAAACCCCCGGCCAGGAAGCCGTGGACGTGGTCAAGCGCTACCAAGAAGTGGTCTCCTCCTTCGCAGCTGCCGATCTGATGTCCAGGGCAGCCAACGCCAGTGTCCACACCACGCAGCAGACCGTGGCTGACCGCACCCTAGCTGCTCTGCAAGAAGATGCCCGAAGGTCCAAGGAAGATAGCTTGACACTGCAGAATACGATCAACCAGAGGAACACTGACATAGCAGGTATTATTTTGTGATTTTTTATAACATTTTGATTTTCATACAGGCTGTTCATAAAGTTAGCATTTAATTTCTGTAGAGTGAACTTGGTAGCTGCTTAAAATTTCTTAATGGGTGTGTGCAGAGATGCCAACATTTACGATTTAGGTGTAATTTATTCAACCCCATTACGACTGCACAATCCTTATGTGATTTTCTACGATTTTCCAAGATTTTACGTGAATAAAATTATGTGTGCACAGTTTGTAGTACATGTAGTATCTTGACTCCTGTTTTTGCATAGCGCGTATTAATAAAATGGGAATTTGGTATCAGACTATTGGGTGTGCGACGTTTAGCGCGTAAAAGAGCGCTGACATCTAGTGTGTGCACAAAAATGATATCCCTGAAGGTAAAAGAGCCCAAATGGGCGTTATAAAAAATAGTCTGGTTTCCCAAGTGTGCACATAGGCAATACGTGGAAGTAGGTTGGAAACCAGTCACCGACAGTAAAACCAAATCGCCCCAACGTTATGCGCGGGGCGGTGAATTGAATCGCGAGCTCTACGGTGCAATTCACGGACATTGCAACGCGCGCATTTTCTGTGGCAATTGAACGTTATAGTATTTTTTCGTTTGCCGATTGAAGAACGAACAACGATGGCTTCATTTCACTAGAAGTTTAAAGATAAGTACAACAAAAAGTGGGACTTTGTTGTGAAATCTACTGTGGGGAAAAAAATGCCTTCTGCAACATTTGTCGCTGTGACATTTTTCGATTTTTCAACTGGTTTCATGTTATGTAGGGAATTTCTTGTTTTCAGCAGCTGCTGATGGAAATTACGCTTTTTCAATTTTGAATATTGGCATCTGTGTGTGTGTGTGGGGGGGGGGGGGGGTTGGGGAGAAAGTACACACATCTTTATGGCAGGAGATCCAACAGTGTTACGGGAGAAAGTCATTCTCACAAAGTGCAGGAGATTCGCCCTAAAGCCTCCTATATTGGAAGTAAAATATTGACGATGCCCTTTATCAAGAAACATAGAATTTTGTGTATTTTGGCGGCGTGCCTTTCTTATTTTCAACTTCATTTCTTTAGGTACATGTATCACCTCTGATTGTTTCCTCAATGTCAATTTTTTCCCATGTATTTTCTCTGCAGGTTTAGAGAGATCCCTGACGACAGCCAATGAGACTCTTATATCAGCTGAGGAATTGTGGGATACCAATGCAGTCAGTCACATGACTCTACAGACAGAGGCCAATGCCCTTTCGCAAATAGCCAGCGGTAAACTATAGAAAATAGTTTTAATAGTGCAACATCACTTGATAAATACCTAAATGAAGGTATTCATTAACTTCATTTTTGCCTGTAGGTTTGACATTTAATGTAATGAATAGTTGACTTTGTTAAAAAAGTTTTGACCTTCAAATATAGTTTAGGAACTGCTCTAAAATGCTACATAAAACTTGATTAATTTTAAAAAGCAATGTTAACAGATGTCTGTCTACAAATGTGGGCCAAACTGACTCAAGAGTATCCGGAAGTATTTTACGCCAAAAACCAGGATGACCAGATGAAAATCACAAATTTCTGCTAAGTGCATTTCAAAATTCTGCTAGATTCACTAAAATCTGCTTAATCACGTAGAACTACACAAAATGCATAAAAAAACAAAAAGCGTGTCAAATTTTGATACAGCACGCACAGTACTATATGTGGACAGGGACTAATGGATTGGTCTAGTCAGTTCCGGTTCACTCGTATTCAAATCCCGTCACACCTAATCCATTTATTTTTATTTTTGTTTGCGGACTCTCAGATCCACAGATTCAACCAGCCATTGACCAGGGTCTCAACACGGCTAACCGGGCCCTCGGATTCAGTGAAGTCACCCTCAATAACACACAAACTCTGGAGGACATACTCATTGCTAATGAGAATGACATCCAGGCTGTTCAAGAGACTATCGATAACGCGACCAGTCTACTGGGCACAACCCCTGCCATAAGTAAATGTTCATATTCATACAGCTCCTACATCTGTTTCAGTAACCTTTCTTTTCTGTAACCATTTTGAGAAATTTGTACCCGTTTTTCTTTTTCCAGTTTGTGTTGTAAATGCCCAAATGCATGTCTTACATTGCGTTATAAAACTGATGACTTTACTGAATCCCACTTTACCCCCGACAAATACTTTGATGAGTGATTCATACATATATTTCGGGAAAAAGAGGGAATCACAGACTGTGCAGATAAGAACAGTAAGAATTGCGACATTTTAATTATTTCAGTAAATTTGCAGTTATATTCCCCTTCTCCGTCTTGCCTCCCAACAGTCAGCGAAGTCGAGACAGACCTGACCAGCCTTGCCCAGAAGACAATCAACTTGTCAGCACTGCAAAACGAAACCTCACAGATGCGCAGCGCCATCGACGAGCGGCTGGCACGTCTCAGGCAGAAACTGCGCAACGTGCAGGACCGGATTGCCAACACCAGGCAACCAGCACGCTTCGCCGGCCAGACGTCGCTGGAGATCCAGCTGGATTCACCCGTCCAGTCCAAGTTGTCCAATGAGATTCAAGTAGACTTCAAGGTAATATCACTTGGGCCATAATGCCTTCGTTCACATAAAGTTGCAGTCGTGCCTATCACAAACCTAGTCACAAGTTGCAATTAATTAACCACTTCGGGACAGGATTATTTTTGATGAAAATTTTATTTTTGAAAAAAAACTGAAATGTAGAGGCCAGCTTCTGATACACAGCCACAAAATACTGATTCGCAAGAGTCTTTGCAACAGTATTTTTACCGCAACCTCATATTTTTCAACACTCCATGGTGTTCCCACAGAGTGTAAATTGTACAATGATAGGACGTGCACAGCGGCCTTGTTCTTGAACATATAATGTTTCATAATGGCAAAGTCAATGTCAAAGCCATGATCATCTTCAAGCAGTGAACTCAGTGACTTAATGTTCAATTTGTTTGTCTTCAGGTGGATCGTCAGGACGGCCTTGTGTTCTTCATTGAGAACCCGGCCAACCAGTACTACAGTGTGGAAGTGGTGGCCGGCAAGGCCCAGTTCAGTTTCAATGTCAACCGGGATGCAGTCACCATTCAGAGTCCCATAGAGGTCTGCTGTGGGGAATGGTATCATGCTATTGGGACTAGGTAAAGCCACTTCAGTGCAGTACCCCTCATCCCTGAGCAACTTGTGAAACTGTTATAAAATGGCGAACTTCTGATATTTTGCTTGTTGAAGATTGAATTCAGGTTAAAGCCCTTAGCCACAGGATGTTGAACAAATTGCTGCTTTACAAATATGCCTTTTATTTTCCTGACACCAGTGGTTCCTACCTATCTCTTTGCAGAGGTTGAAATTTTGGTTGGGCAACCTGACATCGTCTGACCTATTTTTACTCCAATAGAGTGAATGTTCAATCTTTAGGAATAAAAGAGTATACCATTTATTTTGTTTCCATGTTGATATTGCATCCTCATAATTCTACCCCAGATATGCTAATGAGGGACAGCTCTCAGTTGTCCAGCTGAGCACTGGAGGGGCGTCTACCACGTACAGCCGGAGTACCTTCATGTACAACAAGTACTTCTCCTTCCCGCCGAACAAGACAGCATTCTACGTCGGGGGTCTCCCAAGCTCGTATCAGGTTTGTCACAAAATGCAATGGTTACAACATTTCCTGGAGGCTGTAATTTCATTGGCTAAGAAAATTCAAATGTAAAGACAAATGTGACACCAGGAGTTCTTGGAGGGTTTGAACAAACATCATCCCACCCCCCTTTCAGTATTGGTCTGGCAGATTATTTTTGGCAAAAGCTGGAAAAGTGAGGTCCACATTTCACATTTGGGAAGCAAATAAAACTAAAATGGCATCTAGGTTTTCTTTGTTGAAGCAGATGACGCTATTTAGCTTAGTGTAAATTAATACTTAATTCTGAGCATTAAATGGGTTGTGTAAAAGACGTCATATTTTGTGAGTGGCTGACCTTATTTGATGAATCCTGGGAGGGAAAGGGGATGAAAGGCATACATTCACAGACGGTCATTCTCACTCCGGTTTCATTATCCCCTCCCCAAAAAACCCACTTTTATAGGGGTTTATGGCCCCCATTGGTCCCCCTGGATGAACCAGTGTCCATGTCGATGAACCATTTTGCCTCTCATTTGTATGTTTACAGACCAGTAAAGTCAACAGTCGTAGCTTTGAAGGCTGTATCTCGGACGTCATGTTTGATGGCCAGGAGCTGGACCTCTGGCGACCCACGTCCCAGGAAGGATCCACATCGTGCTGCCAGGGGGCAGTCGAACCTATCACCCCTGAACCGGAGGTCTCACCTGGAGCTAGCTTCAATGGCTTCGGCTACTTCCAGGTGTGGACCCTTCCTGTCTGTCAAGTCAAGACAAGTCAAGTCAAGTCACGTCAAGTCAATATTACAAAATTACAAAGTACAGTCGACTCTTGTTAATACAAACACTTTTAATACAAATTTTGGTTGTAAGAAAAAAAGACGCCTCGGTCCCAACTGAAGTTATGTGCACAATGAATATGACCATGCATCGGTCCTCTTAATACAAATTCTGATCCAGCTGAGTTTGTATTAACGGGAGTCCACTTTCATCATCTAGAACAAAAATACTAATAGATTCTAATCATCCTAATAGCTATCAACAAATGGTTATTTACAGCACACTCAAAATGAACTTCCAATCCATCAAATTTCAATGTATTCTGTGAACACTGACATGAATTCAGGGTGCTTCTGCAAGTATTCTGTGCAAGGGACATAGGATTTAGCACTCTAGTAAGTTAATACAGCTCTGTGATCCCCCACAACTTTCAAGAATGATCTTCCTTTGCTGACTTCACAAGGTCGTAACTCCATTCTGCAAACAAGGTCGTATCTCGACGTCCATTGACTTACTGTGAACATCCGGGTTTTTGTAAGTGAGATACGACCTTTTGACATTCTGAAACTCGCGTTTAATGTACAGCACATTTTAGGAGATACGACCTTGTTGTACCGACACAACGACATGTTTATAAAGTTAATGCATTTTCGACTTGGCTAATTCCAGCTCCCCCAGGATGATTTTGACGTGTTCGAGTCAGCGACCGTATCGCTAGACTTCCAGACCTCAGTGCCTGAGTCGGTCCTGATGATCGTGACCCGACCTGACCTCATCTCCTACATCGGTGTCTTCATGGAGTCTGGCAATGTCATGTTTGAGATGAACACTGCTGGGAATGCCAGATACATTCTCAGGACCCTGCAGACCTACAATGATGCAACGTGGTACAGGGTAAGACTCAAGAACAATTCTTTTTAATTAACAAAATTTGGTTTGCCCATCACTAGCCTAATTCTATAAGCTCAATATACTGTGAGCTGCTCGAGTTGTCTTTGAATCTGTCTCCACAAGTGCCATTTACTACTGGATCACTGAGCTAGCCAGTGTTATTATTATTATTATTATTATTCATTTCTGGTAATGAAACAAGGATTCCTCAAAAGCGCCCTAGGCACTGTAGCTCGCAAGCCTGAAGAAACCTGTGGACAGAAGACAATGAGAAGAAGTTACAGTTTTAGAGGTGGGACGAAAAGCCCAGAAGAATATTCTGGGGAAAACCCACGGAATCAGGCAGGGACTGAAAACCAAATCCACATATTGACTCACGTGGGATTCAAACCCGGGTCACAGCGGTGGAAGGCGAGGAAAGTACCGCTACTCCAACCTGACTCCCCTCTACGCCAACCTGACTCCCCTGTTGACTGAAGGGTTGAAATCTGACATAGCAACGTCCTTTGTAAATTTAATAAGACTGGTGCAGTGGAATATTTCTCACTTTTGGTGTTTGAATGGGGATCAGACGATGTGGGGATTGATTATTCAGTGGATCATTTCATGGGTTTAAGTGTTACTTGGCAATAAACTCCATAGATGTGCTTTCTTGCATTGGGAGATCTTGATAACATCTTCTTAAAATCGGGATCAGTGCTGTTTAAGAGCTCGCGCACAAAAATTTACAATCTTGCCCTGATGGGTCTTGGGCCAAAAACCTCCTACTTACTCTTAGAGATGTCTTCACCATTTTGACTTCTAAGCTTACTGAGGTCAGCTGGCGAAGTCCAATCTAATATGGGAATAGCAAAGAATGTAACATCAGTTTCAAAATAATAGGCTTCATTCTATATTAATGACGAGACATTGTTTGGCTTTTCTCCAGGTCAGTGTTTCCTTCAACACCACCCATTACCACATGGACATCGGCTATGCCAACCAGACAGATGCTTTTCTGGAGAGTTTTGAGTCGCCCACACTAGCCCCCTTAAGATTCACCAATCTACGCTACGCTTTCAAGTTATTCCTGGGATCTCCCGACCCATCGCTTGCTTCTGGTACCATGTGAGTCACACTCTCTCCATTGGGAAAGGGGTGGGGATGGGGGGAAATGTCGGCCCTTTTAGTGGTCAATACTTACATTATCATAGTAACTGAACAATTTTAGATTCTCCCTTATAACTATGAAAGAATCCAGGTAATTAGTTTTTTTTTAATAAGTGTATACCCCTCAAAGTTCCTTTGCTTGTCTCATTCTTGGAGTATGTATTAAAATTGCCTGCTGGGGCAGAGTTTGTATAACAGGGTTAGTAACCGGGTCACCTATGTGTGCTTTTTCATGGAGTTGAAATTGAGGAGGAACGTAGCGAACATACAAGACTGAATCAGGGGAAAAAATCTTGTCTTACAAAGGCACTGCTTAAATATTGATACAGTTGTGTATCCGTGTTTTCGGTCGAGGGGCAAATTTTTTTTTTTAAAATAATGACACCACTTTTCCTGTGGTTTTTGGTTGTTTTTTTTATGAGTGGTTCTAGTCCTGTTCTAGTGGATTTATTGTTGCTTCTTTTTATTAGAAAAAAAAATAGAAGTCAAGCTCTCCGTACTTAGTATCGCCCTTTGCTTTTATTAATATTCCTAGCCGTAAAATCTATTTGTAGATTTTATATTTTTTTCCTGTTCTTGGAATTTACAGTCAGCATTTTTAACTGTTTAATTTCTCATAGACGGGGCCCCACCAATCTGCGTTTTGCGGGCTGCATGAAGGATGTGCAGCTATCTAATGGAACCACTGACAGCCTGATCAGCCGACCGTTGACAAACACATCGGCTGTCTCATATCAGGGAGTCTCATTCGACGGCTGCAGAGCTAATGTAAGTACAGATGACAAATCATGGGCACTGTCTAATAGTCCCAAATATCAGTATATCAATATCCACAAAACTGAATTGCCTTATGGATGGGATGTTCTCGCACAGAATTTCAAAATGTGTGCAAATTTTGATGGTTTGGTGGTTCATTTTTCAAGAAAATATAAACCCTGACATTCATATGGGTACATCTGTTTTTGAAATAAGTATTAACCCATCAGTTCCAGAGTGTACTGCCCAAAACCGCCCTGCCCATTACTCCCTGTACCGCCCCAACTGCCTAAGCATTCTATGGTTTTTATAGATTTCATCAGGTAACGAATACACTGTAGTACAATGTAGTGGAGGTGCTTAAGGGTTAATTTATGCATATGGCATATTTACAAACCTTTGAATATTCAAATAAACCAAAGACAGAAATCTATGTGGGATAATATTGTTTTTAAGAATATTTTTTTTAAAAAGCCGTATCCTTTCTTTTAAAATATATATCATTTATTAAACATTACTAAACACCTGCCAGCATATTCTTCAACATTATCATCCACCATTTTCATATTGCCATATTTCTGTTCAGGTGGCAGCCGGTGTTGGTTTCTCAGGTCCCTTTGCCTTTGCCAAGTTTTATCTTCCCAGCCAGCTGGCCCGGACCCAGTCCATCAGCTTCTCCTTCAAGACGTCTGAGCCTCACGGTATCCTGGCTTACAGCTACGGCACACTCAGCTTTGTAAGTCACTTCAACACTTGAAGCTTTCAGCACACATTTTATGGCTCAGCGTAATGCAAGTTTGTTCTTGATGTGAATGCGAATGTACACGTGAAGTTGTAGCCTTGGTCAAGGCATTCGTCAATATTCGTCCGTACGCGGTAAACGATCGGTGACATATCCTCGCTATGCAGTGCATTAAAAATACAGCGCGAACAGCGACCCCATGCGGCTTTTTTATGCAAATCATTTGCAACGCCTTGGTCCAATCGTCCATGTGAGGTTTGGGGGGTGGTGCTCATTATGCTAATAGCCTAAGCTGACCTTAAAAGTCGTTTTCTTATTGGTTGATCGTTGCGAGGAAACTTGCATAGGGGTGAAAGTTCATATAGTGATAACGTGTGACATGTACAAAAAATGTGGTTTCTGACACGTCCGCAAAAGGCGAATAGCTGCAAATAATTTGATGACGTCGGGATTTACCAAGGTGTGATTGGACACTCCACATATTAGCCCCGCCTACACTTATCTGTATTCGCATATGAGGTCGTGCTCTAGAAATCTAGCGCAAAATATAGAAAAACATTAGCTTTCACAGACGAATGGACCAAGGCGTTCGTCTGGATCCAAATGATTTGCATAAAATGGTGGTCACATGAGGTCGCTGTTATTTTTAATGAACTGCATGCATAGCGAGGATATGATTTGCCGCCGATCGTTTACCGCGTACAGACGAATAATGATGAACGCCTTGACCAAGGCTAGTGAAGTTGTGAAGTTCCATATTAATGCTTTGAATTTGCAGACGGTTAACAGATTTCCACTTTGTCAAATTTCTCCTTTTTTTGCATTTAGGTAACAAACGCCTTTTACATTTGGGAATGAACCTTTACAAAAATTCAGAAACATCTGTATATTTCCATCCAATAAATAAGAAACGTCTGTGTTAACAGTTAGCATATTTCATGAGTTGGTTAAGAATCTCAGTTTTTGCACAAGTGTTAGAAAATATTTTTTTCGTCTGGTGCTGTAAGCATAAGATGATGATCATCGGTGCAGAATTGGATGGTTACAAGAGCCATAACATTGGGCCACGGTCTTGTTTATGTTGTTTTCCTGTTGGCATGTTTATCGTTGACGGGAATCATAACAAAGAAGGCCTGATAGAACATATTGTATCCTGTGAGTCATATGGGACCATATGGTAAGTATTATTAGGTCCACTCAGCTGTTTGTTTTGGCCTCAGTGACACAACCATGACTTTTTTGTATAGTATAATAATATGAACCCACTGTTTATCTAGAGTCGGAAAATTTCAGTTGAAGTTGTTGAATGATTTTTCCTCTGCAGAACAAGCTGTTTTACATTGCTCTGTACCATGGCAATGTCTTTGTCCAGTATAACGCTGGTGAGGGATTGTCCGAGCCACTGCAGACAGTGGGACTACGTCTGAACACAGGGCAGTGGCAAGAAGTGACTGTACAGTTCATGGGGCTCTCGTAAGTAGATAGGTGTCAATTGTTAGACTGATACCTCCTTAGTACCACATTAAACTAAACTCTCTTTGAAAAGGTTTGGCTTAACTCATCTTCTCTGGGGGACCTTTTTCCAGTGGTAAGGTTGGATTCAAACTCTTACTTCTTCGGATTTGATGGAGTTCAGTTGTATTTGATTTACTTCTGTTTTGAATTTCTATTGTTGCTTTACGTGTAATGTTATTATTATTAAATTCAGAATTCGTCGAGGGTTTAACGATTATTTGTTTGATTTGAAGACCTTGCCTTGATTTTGATTTGAATGTGGATCCAAAGTAATTTATTTTGTTGATTCCAACTCCAATTATCTGATTTTTCAAATGGAATACTTATCTTTTTATTTTGACTCTCATTTTCACAGTGCTTCTCTGAAGGTGAATGACCTGCCCACCATATACAGCATGCGTCACTTGCAGACTGATGGCATAGACATCGTGGGACTCAATAGCTACCTTTTTGTGGGCGGAGTTCCTAGCACCACGCCCATTCTGATTGGTGGAGAGTTCCCAGTACGCAGATCCCTGAGCGGTGATCTGAACGATTTCAGAATCAACTCGCTGTAAGTCATGCCCTTTTGTAGTATTTTTTCTGGCTTTGTTCACTTTCAATGAAGGGTACTTTCCTGGTATCCAAAGATTCATAGGTGTTAAAATAATTCCTAATGCTTATAATTAGACAGGCAAACCAGTGAGATAAATGCTTTCACTTCTACAAGTGTGGTTTGTTTCCCTTTCCTAAAAGTCCAATATATGATAGAGGACCAGAAACTAGCCTATCTCGCTTCATTGTTGGCTAAATACTATCTTCCTAGTATGCATTGATTCCCAGAACCCTAAGAAGTAATCTATACTTTCCAAGCCTAAATGGTATTCCTTTCACCATATGGAGTCTGGAGCCTTATTTTTGACATGGTATACATCATCATTTGTGTTGGGGAAATTTCTTTGGTTGAAAAAAAAAAGCCAAGTAAGGCCCCCAAAAAAGTCTCCGGTTTCTGGTATGGAGCTTGCCCAAAAAGTGGTGCGGCGACGCGGCTTTTTTTTTTTTTACCTGATTTTTTTGCTTCAAATGTCTGCTGATGACTGCAAATGGTGCCCGACTAAACTTCGTGCAAATATATGGGAGTCCAGAGAGGCCACATATAAAGCTTATTCTCGACCATAACCCAATCTAAAAACACGTTAAAATTGTGCAGCAGCAGGATTCCAGTCAAACCAGTGAGTTTGGCGGATTTGAGACATCATCTTTCATTGAAAAAAAAACTTTTTCATTTTGACGACGCGCTTGGCTACGGCGACGCGCGCACATACCAGAAACCGGAGACTTTTTTTTTTTGGCCTAATGAAAGGGCTAACAAAAAGCCAATTACGTTCTAAGCCCACACTGTACCAGGGACTGTGCTCTAAACCGCCCCCACTGAATCTGAATTTAAATGTGATGTACAAATTCACGATCTAAAATTACTTCTCCTGAAAATTCTCCTCCTCTGAATCTCTACCTAATGCTCTTTCTTGTTTCAGCTTGGTGAACTTCAACGATGCCTCTATAGTCATAGACCACCGCGGGCTGGACCTGTCTGGCATTGCCCCACCGGCATCCGAGCTACCACCGCTCCCCTACCCCACCACGCCAGCCCCCACCGGCACCTCGGCACCCATGACATGCCGGGATCCAACCCAGATCATCCCTTACCCTGGGGTGGTCAGGTTCGGTGCTACGGAGAACAGCTACCAGGCTTACCGGCTTGCACCTGCAGATGCTGCGTTGTTTTTGAATAGGTAACTTTGCCATTGTCTGGCTCAATTGTTTGGTTCTATGTAACCAAAGTGACTCTGGAGGAAATTTTGCTTTTATAGTCTGGTGTTCGAGTCATTGATTGACCAGACCACAGTTAATGATCTTAGTTCAGATTTGAGCTGACCAACAAACTCTGGCAAGCTTGATTATCAAGAGGTTTGAAACATCTCTCGGAGTTTTTGGGTTAAAGTCCCACTTAAGAAAGTCAGTACAATTATCTCTCCGAAGCTCTCTGATTTAGCACAGAGTATACAGTCATTGTAAAAAATAAAGGATAAAGTGTGACCCTAAGCCCTGGGGTGCATTCTGCACATGAATGTATCTGGGAATGGTAAATCATTTGCAATTGTTGGCAAATGTGCATTGTTCAATGTTTAACATACTGTACCCCTATTGTAGTGTATAGAGGCAAGGAGGCTTGTTTTTTTTAATATTTTGTTTTTAAGTATTTAACTCGTTATTCCCTGTACTGCCCCAAACTGCCCTGCTTATTACTCCGTGAAACTACCAGAGCACTCTATGGTTTCTACAATGTTATACAATGTTGTACAGGTGCTAATGGGTTGCAACTGTGCCTTTTTTTAAAACTCCCGTCAGCTTTGTGATCAGGCTTGCGTTCCATGCAGTCTCACCGGATGGCGTGCTGCTCTATGCAGCCAACAGCAACACCAACCCACGCCAGTTCATGGGCCTGGTCATGATGAATGGCAGACTGTCCTTCAATATCCTGACGGACTCTCGCGCCATGACGGGCTTCAACATAGCCACCAGGGAACGCTATGATAACGCCCTCTGGCAGGAGGTTAGGACTAAAAACTGAAAGTCAAATACAAGCATTTGAAAGTTCATAATCAACACTAAACTACTGTTCCACGGAACTCTCCTTGGTATTGTAAAAGTTAACAGAACAGAGGTACAGTGACAGAGGCTTTGAATTGTGAATGCCTGTGGCACGGTTACTTGTAGCTTGATTCGAGATTGAAGGACTTGTGATTGACTTGTGAGTTCCTTTAAGGCTTTGACTGAAACCAAGCCCATTTTGCATGAGATTTGGGTTCACTATGTGACTTCATGATGCACTGTGTGAATATTAAACAACCTATCATGAGATACACATTCGACTCACGTGAGCACAATACGTTACATGGGGAAGATGATCCCCTCCCCACCCCCCAATTAGGTCAGGGAACAGGCCTGACAACTCTGATAAAAAAACCCAAAAAACAGGGGGGTAGATTGGACTTGAGATACCATTGTTAAAATGAATTCTCGGTAACTGTAGAGAACATAAATTGTTGACCCTTGTTTGATTGACAGGTGACCATCCTGCGCATCAATGATTTTGTGGCCATCCTAGTGGAGAAGACCAGGGATTACAAAAATAACGGGGTGTCGTCAGATGCCGTCACCTCAAGCATTGCCATCAACACAGACCTATACGTTGGAGGCATCGGGCCAGCCATTAGTACCGCAGGGTTCCCACTGCAGGTGAGTAGAATTGTTAACGGGTTCCCATCATGCACGATAGAGGGCGCCATTCAGCCTAGAGAAATTGAAGAGTTTTCCAGTTCACTTCAAGTGAAGAGCATTTCAGTAACTCTCGTTCTGAATATAAAAGGGCTCTGATTATGGCTTCAGGCCTCAGCTTCATGAATTAAGTTCCCCCAAGGAACATTTTGGGCCAGTTTCTGATATTAATGTCATGCCTGATGAGGCCAGTGGTTGGTTAATATGCTCATTGTGTTTTAATGTGGCATTTAATAGCTGGAGTTGAAGCCTCAGCTGGAGATGTTGCCGGGTTTCATTAACACCTCACCCACAGATTCTGTATCTTGATTGGCCGAGAGCGAGCCACGTTGCATTTGCTATTTTGGCTGTCTTGCTGTGCACGGCCAAACGTACTCTATCCATAGCAAATAAAGTACGATACCCATAGCAACCAAGCTACTTAACAAAGCAACCAGTGTTGTATGCAATTGCATATTGGTGTGCCTGTTACGTGTATTGATCCCAAATGCTAGCGCTACAGAGCTGGGTTCAAACATTTCGTAAAAGGGTAGTTTGAAAAAGTGCTAGAAAATTTTTAACTAATTTCATATTCAAATAGACGTATATTTGAATTGTTTTTAGTTATCGCTTAAAATCAAGCAGTATCTGTGGAAGAGACATAAAACAATTATTGACTGCCTTGTCTCGTGGTGTAGTAAAACTAGCCTCCCTTGGTGATCCATAGAGCATTCTATTTTCACGAGGTGAAAGGAATGCTCAATGGATCATCTTGGGAGGTTAGTTTTACTACACCACCCGAAGCAGTCAATATTTGTATAATAGAGACTGAGAACAACTAGAAGGGGTGGCCTGGCCACTGGAAAGCGTCAACTAATCTAAACTACTCTCAAAATTCAAAAGAGTGAAACTGGGGACAAGATGATTTTAAAATCACTATTGCTGACATTATTCACTTGCAGATTTCCAGACCATTTGACGGCTGCATCAGGATGCTGGAGGTCCAGTTTGGCACACCGCCCAATTTGAACTTTAACCTCAGGTAACCTTCACCTGTACTTTCTACTCTTCTGACAAACTGTAACTAGAACTGAAGAAGAATGGCAAACCCGCAAGTGTAAAACACGTCCCGAACTGCACTCCAACCTGCCGTGCACAGAGCTGCTACGCGTCTAGTAAAGACACAATATTTTGAATCAATAGTTTTACACAATGAGTCATACATGTTGTAGTCTTTGAATTATTTATCAAATCTGCTAAAGCTGAAATCAAGTCAATCACAAGTCAGCCAACTCAATCATAATTTAGATCATTAGTAACAGCGAACAATTGAGGAATTTCTTGTGACATCACAGGTCAGTGGTCTCCCACACACCTGCTATATTGGATGTCTACAGGTGCAGACTAGTTCCAAAAAAAAACTGCCATAGACCCCAGTGATGAATACGCCCACTTTCGAAATTCAGGAACAATACTCGCATCCCTCCAAGGTGTTTGAGACAAACATCAAATTAGAGGTTATTTTGTTATCTTTCATTTTGTGTTCAACATTTTTTGGTTAACCAATGACTTTTTTGAGAAAATACCATCCAAAGATGACCAATGCCATTAATCGTAATGCAATGTACATGTACTGTACGATCAATCGATCGAGCGCTGCGCTGGACGTCCAAAATGGCAGATCTTTCACCGTTCACGTGATAAAGTCACATGAATGCAAAATCTCAATAGTGATGTGAAGGTAGTGATGAAGACATGCCTTTATCTCACTTCACAGCTTGTCTCTTGACTTGATACTGAATTAACTGCGATGACTTAATGTGATGCCTTGACTACAAATCTGTTCATTATCCTGATCCGTTATTTCCTGTTGACAGCAATCCAACTAGCGCTACCGATGTGCGACCCTGTAGCATGAATGAGGTGGACCTGGGAGGCTTCTTTGATGGCACTGGCTGGCTCCTCCTTCGTAAGTAGTTTAGGGCTATAGATGTAACTATATCCCCTTTATGAACACGCTGACAAGGGCACTATTTTTTAGCTCCAGATATAATGTTTAGTATGGAAGTCCTTCCTGAAACTAACTCCACCAACGGCATCAAATAAAAGGAGCATAGAAATGGCTCAAGTGAATACCAGAAGCAAATGACTTGGCTTTTGATAAAATTTAAAAAAAACATGAAATAAAGCAATTGTTTGTTAAAAATTCATTCACAGGCTACTCGGAAACAGATTTAAACCTAGGACCTCTCGCTGTTGAAGTCCTTTTTAACTAAATTTGTCGGTTTAGGCAAACTTTCAGCATGACTGTTATTTTTTTCATAGAAAACGACTTCCGAATCGGTGACAGCCTAGAGATCCAATTCACCATACGTACTGCAATGCAAAATGCGCTGTTGCTGGCCATATCGGGGGATGCCCAGAACTTCATTGCAATGGACATTTACAATGGCTTGGTAAGTCAAGGTTTAATTAAAGGCCCTGTCACACTGTCACGTTCAGGAATGGAGTTCGTACCGCGACCAAGACAATTGACTAAAACACAGAGGGAACGCAGATGACGGCGTGGGAACTCATTGATACTAGTTGAGGACTTCAGAGGGACTCCAAGGACTTCACTGAACGCCAAACTGCCACCTTCGTTTTGGACATGCACAAAACAATTGCCGCGCCTTGGCGTTTTGACCAGAATGCGGTAAGGACTCTGCACGAAGTCCTCGCGAACGGCCGTGGTGTACTGGCAACACACAGGCAGACGTGAGAACTCCAAGGACGTGTATGCATCAGGCCTGCACGTCTCCTCTGTGTCTCCTGCGTCTATGCTGTTCAAAATATGAAGACTAAATGACAATCACCAGTTTTGCCCCGAGTATTTATACACGCCGCGTTTCTGGCTGCTGACGTCACACGTACGTTTTAAGGTCGCATCAAGCGCGCGATGAGGACTCCAAAAACATTGTACGAACTTGTTGGACTCCATGAGGACGCAGCGAGGCGACAGAGGGCACCGCGCAGACTTCTTTTTGGTCCTCAATGGAACTTATAGAGAACACCGCAATGATGCTATATAACGCCACATGGACGTCTTGGACTTCCCGTGGACTTCACAGAGACACATCTTATCTCTGATGGATGGCTTCCAAGCCACTGGTGCCGTGAATCCTGCGTCATCATGGCGTTTCATTACATTTTTCAGAATTTCAACAATGCAATATAAACTCCATGCATGGACGTGACAGCGTGACAGGGCCTTTAAGGACTAATTCACTTCGTGCTTCTGACCTGAAGAAATTCCATCATTATTTGAGTATGCTTGAATATTGCTTCAAATTTCAACTATAATCAGAAAAACAAAATTATATTTAAAAATTTATAAAAGCAAAATGAAATGATTAAATCCGTTGCTGACCAAGTCTGTTTTGGATAATCATTTGGTGAAATCACAAGCAGTTTTATAAAAGGCATCTTAACCCATTAGCCCTTAAAGCGCCCACAACGGCCCTGCCATTTACTCCTCAAACCGCCCCAGCACTCTATGGCTTTATTGATTAATGGAGGAGTTAATACAATGTGATACAATTTCATACAAGTGCTAAAGGGTTCAAGTTAATTCAAAAGCCTCGCAAGTGTTGACCAAGTCATGGTTGTATGGAATTATCACCAGCTCTATTTTCGGATAGTTTTTAGGGTTTTATACAGTCTACCTGCATGGCAGAGAGTGCAATTAGACAGCAAAACTGCTGTGAAAATGAACCAGCACAATCAATTTTGGGTATCAAATTTCTTCCACTACCAGACTAGCGCACAGTGTAAAGTTTCGTTACATTTTAGTTACAGACAAAATGTGAGGTGTTCTTGCAAAATGAGACAGAACTGGACAGACTAGAGGTTAAAATGAGGGTTTGCAGGTGAAAGGAAAGAGAACAAAATTCTCCTCACAGGACGAACTGTTGCACTTCAATCAGACAAGAAGTTATGGTTGTTAAAAGTTTGCATTTATCGTCATGTCAAAAAGGAAACTACTGAGAAAAAGACCTTTAAGTTTTGAGTTTTGTAAGTTGTGAAAATGAGATATGCCAATTGGTTTTTATTAAAAACACTGTTATTCCACGATTTTATACTATTTCTTTTAAAATATATGTAGCAGATACATGTATATCAAATATTACAAAAATTAATTAATCTGAAAAAAAAATAAAAATCACCCCCACTTGGTTTTTTGCATTTTTCTCCACTACAGCCTGTGCCCAGTTCCGTCTCATTTTGCCAGAACGGCTCATAAATATGTTTAACCCTCCTACTATTTAAGAGGTCACCAATGGTCAAAATGTTTGTATCTCGCCTCCTGGCATACTGTGTGTACAAACCAATGGGGGTCTTGACCAATATTGACCCAAGTAATAACCAGGCTGACAATGCATGTTTCCATAGGAGTGTTCATGGATGGAAAGTGTCCATTGATGGACCATAATTTCACCCTGTCTCTTTTTCACCAGGTGAGGGCGATAGTCAGCCACGGCTTCATGTCATCCTACATCGTCCGTTCCACCACGCTGGCCAGCGAGTTTGCAATCTGTGACAATCAGCCCCACCTCCTGCACCTGTCCTTCACATCAGCTGCACTCAGGCTGACCATAGATGATAACCCTAGCGATGTGGCATCCTTCGATGCAGGCACGCCCACCGTGGCGGCCAGTAATGGCCTGGCCGTGTACATTGGAGGAATACCTGGTAGGTTAAGAGCTTAGGGTGATCCAATATCTGAAGAATTTATTTCCAAAACGTGACATATCCATTTCAAAAAGGTGAAAAGTTTGCACAGTAATGATACTTTTAAAGAATAAAATCGCTATAACAGATGTCCCTTAACTTCATTTTTCGCTTTATTGTATTATGTGTTTAAGTTTATATTATATGAACAGCCGTCAAAATTGCTTTTGGGAAGGAAGGTGAGGACACGGTTCTAAAAGCGAACAAAATGGTGTATATATGTTTGTTTTTTTCTTTTTGAGCATACGAATTTGAAAAATTTGCTCAAATTGATTATTGACTTGAGGTACTTGAAATATGCAAACTCAAGATGGAAAGAGAGTTCAGTCTTGTAAAAAAAAAATAATAAGCTTGGTTTATATGTGTACATGTACCTTGTTAAATGGTGTTCTGAATGTGTAATTTCAAAGTTGGATATGTGAGGCATAGTGGTACGGTGAAAATGAGACAGAACTGGTCAGAGGTCAAAATGAGGGTTTGTGGGTGTTAGGAAAGAGCACAATATTCTCCTTACAGTACTGTTTGTTGCACTTCAATCGGACATTCCGTTGACAAGTTATGGCTGTTTAAAGTTTGCATTTATCGACATGTCACAAAAGTAGAACACTGATAAAAGGCCTTTAAAGTTTTGAGTTTTGTAGTCGTGAAAATGAAAGATGCCAATTGTTTTACTTTAAGAACACTTTTATTCCACACTTTTTGTATTATTTTTTTTTTAATCTGTTCAGTAGACATATCAAAGATTGCAAATATCAAAAAAACTGAAAGTATTTTGCTCCACTACGGCCTGTTCCCAGTTCCGTCTCATTTTGCCAGAACGCCTCACATATGTGCATTGAAGATTTTGCAGAATGGCTGCAAATGGTACTGAAAAACTATGGGAAAAGTTTGGAAATGTAACTTTCCTTGCATTCGCCTTTACTATAATGACTGCATCTTTATTTGGTGATGGTCCATGTTTCATTCCCTCATCCCCCACTTCAGATTCCACCACCGTGCCCCTTATCAGTGGGATCTCCACCCAGTCCTTCCATGGCTGCATGCAGGGGCTCCTCATCAACAACTCTACCACCGAGTTCAGAAACAACCTGGGCAGTGTCGGCTTCACCACTGGTTGCCCCCGCCCACTCTAGGCAAGGTTTCCAGTTTGCACTCCTCAGTGGCAAATTATTAACATTTGTAACACTTGTTTTGGATAATTGCAAATGTTAATGACTTCTGAAATTGTTGCCATCTTGAAATTTGTTCAAACGATTATGTTTTAAGGTTCATGTTCCATTTGATGATCGATTTGATGATTGTTGTTATGATCATGTTTCTTTGTCCCTGTTTAATTGACAACTACCAGTGTCATTTCAAGAGACATTTGTTAAAACCCAGAAACAAAACATATCTTTTAATATTAAAAGATATGTTTTGTTTCTGGGTTTTGTTTTCAAGCATGGGGCTGGTTTTGTATGTTTTGCTTTGTATTGAATTTGTTTCCAGTTTTTTTATGTTTTGAGGCATAAAGTTGTCTGCAAATGCAGTTGGATGTACTAAACTTTGTCAGAAAATAGAACCACTTGTAATTCAAAGTGATCGCACATACACACTCTCAGTACTTAATATTTTTATCGCTCAGTTTTACTGCTGTGGACATACTTTAACTGCTATGGACACTTGACATTTTTTAAAATGTGAGATTTATTCCCACCTTGTTTCAAGTTAACCAGTTTTACAGAAGTAGGCTAAAAGCCTCAGCCAAGTTCTATTTTATTCTGGTAACCACCAGAACATTTTCATTTCATCCAACAAATTCTCCCCGTAGCACAATTATGTTCAATATGGCTTGGAAGTTGAGACAGTTGTTTTTTTTAATAAAAATTCATTTAAACTTCAAGTAACAGGCATAGTGGTGCTATATTTTCACACATTCACCAGTTTTTAACTAGATGTTTTTATTGTGCATGGTTTGAAATCTGTATCTTTTAAAAAAAAATTCATACTCCATGCAAATGCAAACGTGAACGTGTAAATTTGTTAGGTGCTACAAATTCACAACAACTAAACAGTTTTCAAATCTGGACAATTCTACAGGCTATGTTTCACGCATCACAATTCACTTAATATTTGCATGGAGTATAAACTGGCTTTTACTGTTGCTTTTGGTTTCTTTTGAGTTTGCATGTTGTTTGATTTAGGCCTTTATAATAATACTGTTTGTTTTTATTAATTTGAAGTATTTACACAGTTGAACTTGGTGCTATCATAGCGTGCCAGGTCGATATACCTTACTCTTTGAACTCATTGCCTTCAATAAGACGGAATTAGAACAAGGAGCTATGACAGTCTGCTCGACGCAAGGTATGCGAGGAGTGAGTGAACATATTAAACTACTATTCATAAATACCTAAGACAGTTTACCCATTCCCATTGGTCGAGAGCTCGTCATGTGGCCGGTCTTAAACAGATGATAAAGACATGGCTAGTTAGTCTTCAACACTTTTCCAGTGTCACATGAAATTTGGACTCCTATGAAATCCAGTGCCTGTTACTGTTTTATTGGTTGAATGTTCACAATCCTCACGTAGGCATGCGCAATACTACCAGTGAGTCAGTATTTCATAGTCCTAACTTCACAACGCACTCGCCACAGCTGCATCTGCATGTCACTGAGCTGGACACTCCATTCTATAGCTAGAGTGGTGTTTCGAAAAACATGAAGTAATATTGTTGAAGAAAATCTTTGGAAATTTTAAATGTTTGACTTGTTTAGATTTTTATGGCATTGTATTTCTAGCTCATGCAACTGATATTGGTGCCCACATGAGTTAAACACAGAACACAAACGCTTACAATAAATTGGCCATCAGGCAGAATAACAGTCTTTTAAAAATAAGCTATAAATATTTATTTTTCAGTGGATGAATATAATTACAGCATTAAACGTGTGAATGATCACAACAAATTAAAGACTGGAGTGGCAACATGGGATAACAATACATATTTACAAAACAGTGGATGTCCAATTGCTTATTCATGATATTTAAGGCATATTATTGGTCACGACATACTTAACTGGGGAATACACTTAATACACATACCTTCAGAATTCATTTCAGTCAGTAAGCCATTTGCGAGTAACCTATACCCTTTGGGATTTACATTTGAAAAACATCTGGTACACTGACTTGCTCAGAATGCTTGGCACATTTTAATTTGAATTCTCCAGATCAAAGACTCTTAATAGTGTTGCTAATCACATGATTCGGGGTAAGCTCTTGCATAGTTACGTAAGAGATGCTCAGCACCAATACATTGTTCACAATGGGTGAGAATGGCACAAAGACACCAGACCATGCCGGACCTGGGGGTTGCTAGCATAAGGCTTGCCCCGAATCATGTGATATAGTAACAGTCTCTTTGGTCGGGAGAATGCAAAGTTAAAACGTGCAAAGCATTGGATTAAGTCAGCGTTCCAGATTTTATTCAAATTTTACTCGCAAATGGCTTATTGAGTGATAACAAATTAATGTCACATTTGTTGAGACTTTACAGGTACAGTACTTGACAATATATGGTGAGAAATGCATATTGGTTGTGTGCCTTTCCTTATATATGACATTAAAAATTGTTTTCAACGCTGAACTTGTCAGAGTCTTGTGTTTCTCTTCACAATATTCAAAATGTTAACATGAGTCGCACAATTCATCTATGGAGCATTTCACTACAAAACATGAACTATTTACGAGGGTTTTTCAGTCACACCAAAAACAAACTTTTTTCAAAATTGTTCCTTTCTCGATTTTTACCTTAATAACTACACAGGAATATACACTCGGAACCATCCTGAATCTTTCAAAATCCAGCACTAGCTGGAATCCAGTGGCTCAGTTTTGGCCTAAAATCGTGGCTTCATATCCATTTTCAGCTTAATTCTGGCACAGCAGAAGTTTTGGAACTTACCTTAGTTGGGTTAATTTAGAACTAATACAATATGCATATGATATGAAGAGCTTCTTTCCAAACGTGATACATCCCTTTGAAAAAAACTGAAAAAATATGAATAATGAAAGGTTTGCAGAAACACCATGTGCGAATACCTTTCAACCTTTCATTATTTAGTATCTCCACCATGCAAAGCCTCAAATCTTACTTGAAAAAATATGTGCATGGTTATGAAACTTCAAAGAATAAAAACAATATAACAGCCGTTTCTTAACTTCATTTTCCGTCTTATTCTATTCTTAAATTGTGTTTATCGCTTTTGGGCAGCCAGGAGAGAGCTGGATTGTAGAAGGTATTCAAAATGGCATTTATAACAGTTTGGAAATGAACTCTTCATTTGCACTTGGAACTTTTACGAGGCACCAAGCCGCATGTAAAGCAATGGGCTGCACCTATCTCAATACTGCGAAATCGTCCAAAGCCTGGTGGATTTTGAAGGATTTGGGAGGGTAACATTTCAAGGTTAAAGGTTAAAGTTCAAGGCAAATCAATTAAAATCATATTATTAAAATCCATATCATGTCGCCTTGTATCTGAGAATGCAATCTTTGTTGTGCTACTCGTTACTCATCACTCCTTCGCCTCTGAACTCCAAGGGATACCATTTCAGAGACTGGAGTAGATATAATATACATAAATATATATATTCCTGCTATGGTAAATTGTTAGCCTAAAGTCTAACACACTAAGCAAGCATGTCATTGTCAATAAATAGCTACATATCATGAGTGTCGGTCTAAAATTTTGCCCTTATAGCATTTGGTACATTAAATTTTAATTCTTGCTATTTTAATGTCAATTTCTGTGGTACATTATGTAATGCGCGATTGATCATTTTTATGAAGACCGCGCAATACAATTTCTCATTTGTTTTTATTATCATTACATTCTACAAACTCGCACGTTTCGTTTTCTATTTTGAAAAAAAACCCTTAAATCAGATCAAATGACACAATAATAACCAATTCGTTTTTTGTAAGTGGCCAAAGCCAGCTGGAGAAATAATTGTGTGCACAACTAAAGTAAACCATTCATTCAAATAGTTGTGAACTCGTAGCTCTGCATTTTTCACTGTATCTTTAACAACTGAACTGCCTACTCAGCCTATTTATTACTAGGTAAGACTGTGTGAAATTTCAGTGGTTCCAAATTGTTCTTGTTATATTGTGTGTGGAACATGCCGGCACACTAGCTTTGCGCAATGAGAACTGCAACGTCAAACGCTCAGTCTCATGTCCGGCAGGATATCAAAACCTTCAGTTATCAAAGGTTACATCGCAGTGATTTAATTTATTTCTCACACAGTTTAAAGTTACAACCATTTATCTGTTTGACTTATGAGCATGATATAACGAAACAATTGTTGACTGCTGTGATGTGGGATATGCCTCGGGTGTTAAAAACGTCATATCCCACATCACAGCAGGATATGCCGTTTTTAACCCCCTTGGGGCGCATAGCACCCTAGCCTAGGGTGCTATGCGCCCCTCGGGTGATAAAAACGTCATATCCCACATCACAGCAGTCAACAACTGTTAAATGTGACGTATTTCAAAAACGTTCCTGTATCAGTCCCCCGGGGATGTACAATATGCCATGGACTAAATCGAAGAAGACAAAAGTTGTAAGACGTACAACCCGAAATCCAACCCGTATATTTTGGAAGGTCCCATGAGTGAAAAGTCAGGATTAGCTCTGGGGTTGTGCTATGAATAAAACATCACAACTATACATGTACAAGTCTTTTAAGGGCAAAACCTTAAAACCTTTAAAAAAGATCAAATGTACAATTACGAATACAAATGATAAAACTGTTAACACTGCATGGAAAGCTTCTATAAACACAATGATGATCATAAAAACAATGAAACATAACATCAGAGAATATAGGTAATATTGACGTAAAGAGGAAAACAATGGTTTAGTACAATGTGTATAATAACTAATTGATATTCATCAATTTCTTGATTTATCTATAAAATAATTCTGTCCATCAAGTAGTTTACAAAAAGCATGCTCAGATTTATTATAAAAAAAAAATACAGCGAAATCAGATGTCCAAACTTGACTTACAATTCGGAGGCATGATTAGTCCCTGAAGAAAAAAAACAAACATTCACCTGCATCCAGATGGCAAAAACGGAGTCTCTGTTTTTACAGATTTTAATTCTTTGTACTGACTTTGGTTGTTATCATCTCTGATGATTGAAGCAAGAGAAACAGCAGTTGTTTCGGTAGTACATGTAGGTGCAGAGCCGTGCCTTGGCCACCTTCTCGCAGTAAGAGAACTTGTCTTGGCAGTCGCTCGCTGGGGAGGACACGAGAAGAAAATCAAAAAGTAACAACCAATGTTTGACAGTATACCTCATGCACTTGTGACAAGAAAGGCAGTGCAATCAGATTTAGAAATCTGCCTGAATGTTTGGAATGGGTGTACAGCTGTTTACCTTGTAAATATCAAATAGCAAACACAGCCATAAAAAGTCCACAACAATTCAGCCACACCTAAGGCTGTCCTAAATGCTTGAATATTCGATCATCAACCAAAATTTGAAATAGCTTTTTGCCTGTTTGAATATTCAAAAAACCAAAAAGTTTCATACATACACGGACAACTGTGATGCTATTTTATCGTATTTTATTGTCAGGTGCCACTTTTTTTGTTGAAGGTAATTTTTTCTCCGACGGCGGTTCATTGTTCACATCCTTTTAGCAGGTTAAAGCTCTTTATTGTTATAATACACTTACTGCGAAACACTCCAGTGCCCCATATCGATAAAGTTTAACTTGCACACTATTCATGCAAATTTTTACTGGCGCAGCGCGCAGTTGCAGTTTCGAATATCCAAATATTTGGTCAAACGCACTTTTGAGTAATCGAACACTACATTATTCAAAAATGGACAGCCCGCATGGGCGTCAATCCTGGGGGGGGGGGGGGGGGGGGGACAGGGGGACATGTCCCCCCCCCCCCCCCCACTTTTTGAAGGGTGGGGGACACTATCTCAAATGTCCCCCCCCCCCCCCAGATTTTTGAACTCGTGTCCCATTTACAGGGCCCTATTACGTACTTCAATGTATCTTTTGCTAAAAAAATATTGGTTAAAGTGGTCAGAAATTGCCTCAGGTAGCACCACAGAGCATTTAGAATCCAAATTTTTTTTCGGGGCCCTTAAGCGGGCCCCGAACCCCACGCCTGGAGCTCAGAATTCTGGTAGCCAATTCAATGACTCCAAACTCGAAAACGATGTTCAAATAATTATCTTTGGCTACGAAAATATTAGTTAAAGCATGGAGAAAAGTGATAAAAAATTGCTTCAGATCACACCACAGAGCATCTAGAATCCGATTTTTTTCGGGGCCCTTAAGCGGGCCCCGAACCCCATGCCGTAAGGGCTTCGCGCTTCGCATCAGTTCTGATCAACGTATGTCCCCCCCCACTTTTGAGAAGCGATTGACGCCCCAGCCTACCAGCCTTACCTTCCCTCAGACAGATCAATTAAGAATTAGTACTACCAACAAAATAACATATCTCATTACTGACATGATATAGCACCATGAGATCAGGGAGCCCCGCTTTACTTTTTAAAGTGGGGTGATGCTCCCCCCCCCCCTTACTTTATAAGGTGGGGGGTATCATATCATTCATTCCCCCCAACTTGTTTCATCTCTGAATAAAAAATGTAGCCTACATTTGATTCTATAGCTCAGAATAGCTCATTTAATAACTCCAAGCTCAAAAACGATGATCTTTTGCTAAAAAAAAAATGGTGAAAGCGGTCAGAAACTGCCTCAGATTGCAGAACAGAGCGTCTACATTAGGGCTTCGTGCTTGCATTAGTTCTGATCAAGGTATCCCTCCCCCCCACTTTTTGAGAAGCGATCGACACCGTTGGGAATCCAAGTCTACCTACATGGTATGCTTGTGGTGCACTGTTGGATGTTGCATGACTGTGTCGCGGAGGGTCTGTCCTCCTCACTGCAGTGTGAGCTAGGATCCATGTTTGAATCCAGACACTTGACATCTCGTCTTCTCTGCCCGCCACCGCAGGTTCTAGAACACTGGGCAAATGGAATGGCAACAAGAAAAGGTTTATAATAGTTCTTGAGAACACAAGAAATTCCAGCAATTGCTATGGAGCAATATCCCTGGAGCAGAAAATAGGTGTATAAACACCGGACCATATAATTAAGTTTATATTTTTGCAGCATTTTAATCTGACACCAGTTAACCTTCTTATTTCAATCTCAATTAGAATTTATTCCTGACACAATGAACCAGAAATGTCTGAAATGCTTTTGTTCCATACAAAATATCTGCCATGTGAACAATTGTGATGCATTGCTCAGTTTCAGACATTTGTCCGGATCAGAAGCGTTTAAGACATTTGTGGTTCCTAGTGCAAGATCACACACGGGCACTCTGTGTGCCTTCGGTAAAATGCCAAGCCCCGCCATGATCATGCTTCTACATCATTATGCTTATAATATATTGGCTGGATTAGTCGTTGCCAACCGTGGGGCCATGTGAAACGTTCCGATCGCCAACTGTGCTTATCTTGCAAATGGATAGGGGCCAGATGAAGAATGTGCAAAGAGATATGTGGGCTGCATTATCAGACAATTTGCAACACACAAATTCCAATTCTTAGCACAAACTGTCCCATGAAACAACAGAGTACTTCACAGCACACTTTTGATCTCTCCATAGAAAAGGGGACCAAGTTGCAAATCATGTAGTGATGAGATCCATTTTTTCCAAAATGACCAAAAAAGGGGCAAATACTACAAGGGTCAATTTTGTTAAAAAGCATTTAAAGTCACAAGCGACCACTTCCAGTAGAGTGGTGAGAATTGTTCGTGGGGGGGGGGGGGGGGGGGTTTACCAAAAATTTCCTCAAAATCCCCTGAACTTTCATTATGCCATGTTTAAGGCTTCAACCAAAATCGCTTAAAGTGTGCCACGCACAAGTGGGCCATGTCAAGAGAACACACTCGGTGCATTGATCATTATGATATATGCAGCTTGCCTTCATCCCCCCCCCCCTTCCCTTGTTTTTGGTTTTCAACCGCCCCTCCACTATGCCACTGCCCCTTGCATACGTGATGGACAAGTGAATCTGTGGACATCCCACCACCCATCCCATCTCACCTGGGTCCAATCCGAATTAAACCACATGGCTACACAGTGCTTAAGATGACAGCTCTGTCTGTTGGTGGGTTTGGGCTTGGTGGCACACTGTTCCTCATTGACAATGATGTGTGGCTCATCAGCCCCGGCACACAGCACCATGCGGTCCTGAAAACCATCGCCGCATTCCTTGGAACACTGTAGCAAGACAAAAAAATGGGCCATAAAAATGTATCAAAAAAGACATTTTGTAAGTATAAGTGTAAGTCTTTTGTTGAACTTGTGATGACTTCAATATTTTGTCACAAGTCGCGACATGTTTCGTAAGTTGCGTCATTTTTGCAAGTCAAGTATATAATGACACATTAAAGTGCTTTGTGAAAAGGTAACAGAAAGAATAGTGTACAAATATTGACTGCTTTAAGGGGTGTCGTTAAACTAGCCTCTCGAGGTGATCCATGGAGAGTTTCGTTTTCCTGAGGTGTAGCTGAGGGTAATGGAACACTCCATGGGTCACCGAGGGAGGCAAGTTTTACCACACCACGGGTTAAAGCAGTCAATTTTGTTTTATAACGCCTCACCGACAGATTCTGCTTGATTTTTAGAGATAACTGATATACAGCCCGTCTCAAAAAAAATGGTACAATCAGAAAAAAAATTGGTTAAATATGAAATTTCAAAATAAGTCATTCTTACTTGGCATAATATTAAAGAACAAAGACTGGGCTTTTCAATAGTGTTTTTGATCTTATTTGCTTTTGTCAATTCAGAGATATAATCAATTTAGTGCGATACACCAAAATCGATTTTGTGCCACTTTTATGCATGGGCAGAGTTGTTTCGAGTACTGTGCCATGCTGTCTTGAAGCTCACAAAAGATTGCAACTTGGCAAAAGAAACAAACTCGATTTTTGTGTTCCGCAGTAAACTGGAGTTATCTCTGGATTGACAAAAGCAAATGAGATGAAACAAAAAGTATTGGAAAGCCTGGTCTTTTTTCTTTAATGTGATGCTCAAAACAACTTACTTATGTTGAGATTTAATATTTTCGATTGTACCATTTTTTTGGAGACAGGCTGTATAACCAAAATCAATTTTAAATTCAGTTGAAACCTTGCACTTTTCCAAACAAACCCTTTGTGAAATGATTGAACCCAGCCCTGTAGCGTATGGGAGCAATACGCGCAACTTGCACACCCGTACGAATGAGCACGCAGACATTTGCTATGTTGGTTTATGCATGTGGTACTTTTTTAGACCGAGGCAGTTATTGCATAGTCTTTTTGGCTGTGCACAGCAAGATAGTTAAAAACAGCGAATGCCATGGGACTCCCTCTCAGCCAATCAAGATACAGAATCTGTGGGTGAGGTGTTATAATGCAAGTTATAAGTTACAAGCAGATTTCTATTACCTACCTGAGACCATTCTGAGGTCAGCCAGACAGGTCCACAAGGCATGTTATTGCATGTCCTGGATGTCCTAGGCTTGGTGATAGTGTTACAGGCTTGATCTGTCAACACCTGACTGGTTCCCTCTGTCGTGCAGACAACATAACGGCTCTTGTGCCCTCCGCCACATTCAGCTGAACACTGTAAGGAAAATTCAAAGACAATGTTAGAAAGCAATCAAATCATTTTCCTTCAGGTTGTGTTAACCTTAAGCACTTAAACGTGTATTAAAAATGTGTTGCATGAGTCAATAAAACCACAGAGTGCTACCACCGGTTGAGGTGCTACGGCGGTTTGGGGCAGTGTGAGATGTAACAGACAAGGCAGTTTGGGGCGGTACGAGGACTGATGGGTTAAAACTGCAAACTGTGACAAATTCTAGACATAGACCACATGTTGCTGCAATGGTAAACATCATATCATGTAACTGCTATCATTACTTTTGACTAATTGTACATTTTAAAATCCTTCACGAGATTGACGTTTAGTATAGCAAAAATTCTAGCCAAAAAAGTTGGTAATGAGGTTCTTTTAAACACCATCAGGGGCACAGGGCAGCCCTTGTCTTCACCTCGGGTGTCACTCCTCCCCCCCCCCTCCCACCTCTACCCCACCAACATAAGAAAATGCAGTAAGTAGACAGCAAGTATGTAATGACCAAGTTGTAAGGACGTTTGAGTGTCTGCAACTCATTTTTGGTACTCTCAATCAAACCATCTGGGCGAGGCTCCTCAACTGTGAAACAAGAATGCATACGTGTAGGACTATCCAGTGGGGGTCATCTGGAAGTCACAAAAAGTAACCCCTCCCCTTGTAGCTCCCACGCCCTTGACAAGGCACCCAAATAGGAGCCAAACCAGAAAACTATAAGCATCAATCCACCAAAATCCTTTAAGTCTAACCCCAGACCGCCTTTTCAAGCCCCAGACTTAATCTCCCTCCCCCTTACCAGGTCATTCCACTCTGAGACGAACCAATTACTGACACAAGGCCCCATATCACAAGCCTCCTCGGACCTGGGCTTGCTGAGCTGCTTATCGGCGCAGGCAGACTCATCCAGTCCTTCCTGGGCGTCACTCACACACCGTACCTCCCTCTGGCGCCGTCCCTCCCCGCAAGGCATGTTGCACTGTTTCAGAGAAGACAAATACGGGAAGTAGAAAATGAAAATTAGCAAGGACAATGTTGATCCAGGGCTCTTCCTGGTGATTTATTTCAATTCTTTTTATTAACATCCACCTGGACGATGACAGCTACAATGTCCTGGTACAGACCACATGTAGTATTGCAAGTCACAATAGGTGCAGGCAGTGTGCCATGATGTCAGCAGATGAAAACATGTATACTCTTGTGCGCTAAAATTGTCATCGGCTGCTATAAGATGCTACAATTCAGTACTTATTTGTATTTAAGAAACATTTAGTTTCAAGAAATACAGTTCTGGAACAAGATAAGGAAATTGCAAAATTTGGTCAGATTTTGGTCAGATGGTTTTCATCAGATTTGCAAGATCAACTCGAGTCACAGGTCAATCCAGGCCCGTCGCGAAGGGGGGGGGGGGCCTGGGAGCACATGCCCCCCCCCCCTCCCACGGCAAAAGCCATACATATATATTTTGTATTTTTTTTATGGTAGTGGGCCTCCCTAGTTGGTACTATGCCCCCCCCCCCCATGATCAGGGCTGGCAAAGGGCCTGCCCTGGGTCAATCACAATTCATATAACAAGTCATCAGGTCACATTAATTCACACCACAAGTCAGGGACGAACAAGGGAATGCCATTGAAATAGCCTGTGAATAAAAGCTGTTTAATTTGTGATGACATCTGATGACTTGATAACAAATCTGTCAGCTTTTATCAAATGTTCATGTCTAGCATAATGACGGCAAAGATACATTCAAATCCTGTACACAACTAGCAAACCTTTAAGAAACTTGTGTAGAAGACAACAAAGCAATACTCAGCAGAGGTGGAAAAGGGATCCCTGATTAAATATGCTAGGGGTAAGAAACCAAAAGAATCATTGGGGATCTCATCCATGTCAGCCCTGGTTGGATTTGGACCATAGTCACGGAGTTGGAAGGAGACGAAATTGACTTTGAGAGTTATTTCAGCTAGGTCAAGTGTCATAAAGTCAATATACAGGTTTATTTATTTGTTTTGATCATTGGCATTACATTTTTTCTTCAATATTTTTTAATGAGCCACAATAACAAGGACATGGCGTGTAATGTAGTCAACCTTTAAATTTGATTAATGATTAATTAACATTACATTTGATTACAATTATCAATTATCCATAATTAAATAAAGAGAGTTTTCCTGCTTGTTGCAAAACAGGTGGGTCTGTGCGTGTCGAAACACAATCAATCTCAATTCCCACGGAAACCTGTATATGTCTTGGCTAGTAAAAACACCATCAATGTAAATAGCACTCAACCTCCAAACCCCCCAGCCCTCTCCCAGGAGAGAGAACGTTCTCAGGATAAACAGGGGAATACATCCAAACCACGTATCTTAACACACGCAATGCCTTCAGAGCATTTGAAGAAACTGCCATGCTTCAACATTGTATTTGTTTTGCTCTATGATTCTGCCTTCCCCGTAGTTCACAAGTATGTATACACACAGAATGCACTATCTGTTTGTGTGCTGGTATAGTATTTATATGAGTTTCCCCACATCAAAGGTCATAAGGCCAATGACTAACGAACACTTTTCAGCCACTTTATTAGAACAAGAGACATCAAAGCTGCATTCAGATGATAAATGCATCCTTTTAAAAAATATTTTGCCCAATAATGTACAGTCCATTTTTTTTGTGCCAATCTCGACACCAACTTTATTTAACCCAGTCTATGGAAAAAAAACCTGCACAACAAAGGTCTATGATATGTGAGCAGATTCAGCAATTAATTATGCAAAACAAGACTGCATCTTGACCTCGAGATTATGACCATTCAGCAGGCACCTTCTATCGTGTCTTCCGTAACACATTGTTGTATTACAAACACATGGTAGCCAAATTGACCAATCAACAGCTTAGTCCACATTTCTGATTGAAACGATGTCACAATTGATAAAGTTGACTCAGATTGGCTGGTGTGCAGGGTGGCATAAAATTTGCATGCTAGGATATATCAGACGTTCATCGTGTTGCTCTGCACACATGAATGTCTGATGCTCAGACTCAGGGTGACCGTAAGCTCGTGGCCAAATTCTGCTAAATGCGCTTCATCAATCTGTTAGATTTATCAAAAATCTGCCAAATTCCCATGAATAATTGCACCATGGAGCTTACACTAAATACACTATAAACACTTAAAATCACATGCAAATGTTGTAATATTGCCTTAATTAAGGTTCAAATTAAATTATAATCAATATATAGTCATATAAAGGTGTTATGAAATTGCGTAAATTACAGTCAAAACGAGGTTGCGTCACGACGTAATCTGATTCCCACTGAACCTCAGCACATAGACAAGGCAACCTGTCCTATTTTGCAAGGGTTTGCTTGAAAAGATATAAGCTTTTTTAAACAAATCTACCTTCCTTTCAAATTTGCTTTGTTTTTCTGTCCAATAAACCATTTTTGCAGAATTCTGCCAGAAATCTGCCAAAAAAATCCATTCTGTCAAATTTTCTGTCAAACTCGTTTTTTTTACCAAAAATCTGTCAAAGTTAGCCAAAAATAGGCTAAAACGGTCACTATGCTCAGACTAATTCAAGCCACGCTCTATGTTTCAAAACTGTGTTCCGGTACCACAAAAAAATATGCATCACGGATCCACAGAGAAAGGAACCGAGAACTACTACTATATCAGGCATGTTAGGCAATCCATCCAAACATGAGGAAACAATAGGTTAGGCACGTAATGGCGCAGCGGCTGCCCCCAATTAACATAGGAAGACATCAATTGGCAACGAAGGAACAATTCTCTCTCTGCAGTATGTCATATTTGAGTTATTAGGATGAAGTGAGACAAAAATAGCTTGACAGGTAAACAAAAGTCATGGCACCCCATCGACAAACACCTCCGAGGAAAGGGAAGCCAATAATGATTCCTGCAAAATAACTTGAAATCAGACTCACTTGGCATCTGCTCATGTTCAAGATCCAAAGACAACAGTACCCAACTTCTGTCAAATGAGGGTCATTTTTTACTTCTCATGCTTTTAACACCCCACCCCCCTGCAAAAAAGGGGTGTTTGGAAAAGGCCCTTGCCCCTAAAAAAAAATACAAATTCTTCACATTTTCCTAAACTGGAAAAGCAAGGGAATGCAACTTCAAAACTGCCAACATAGTTTAACATGACTAATAGTACACAAAAATCACAAAATCCTTAACGGAACATGGAACATCCTCCATGCTCACGGTAAAAATTCAACTCCAAAAAAAATATATAATCAATTCCTGGGTAACTGTTGGGTGCCCCAGCTCAGATTGGCAGGAAATGTGTAATATTTTCAAGTGATCTTGACATTCTGCCAAGCACTGCTTCATATTGAATATACTGGCACTATGGTTATCTGTAAAAAAAGAAATCCTCATGCTAGGTTGCACTCTGACGTGAAACATATCAACCATGGCCCCAGTTATTAAAAAGATGCAAGGCTTTTTTTTATCCAAAACATTATTGATAGAAAATAATGTTAAAAATTATTTTTTTCTTTGGGTAGATAGAGGAGGGAGAGATACAATAAAATTATGTAAACTTCATATATATTATGATTGGAGCTTCATAGTATTAAGGCCATTTCACACTATGTGAAGCAAATTTAACGTGAAAGATTTGTACGACAAAGTGTGACAGAGTTATTTTCAACATTTGTAAATTCACAGTATGGAAACTTTCTGTGACAGTACCGGTAAGTGACGGCAACAAATTCAACATGTTTTAGGCATGGTATCCAGGATATAATCTTCCTTATAAAAACAATTTCCTAACGCAAAATGGAAACAATTTAACTGGCACCGTATTCGCCAAGAACAAGTTATTAAAGGCATGTTCCTGCGAATTCTCAAAATTTCTAAGTCTGGGCATCAGAAGAAAAAAATTTGACTGCTGTGATAATCACATCATTTCACAATTGACCTATCGCGGTAAAATCGCGTCAACGCAGCTTGTGAAATATTGTCCAATTTCATGATACACAAATGGCGTGGCAGGCGCAAACTCTGAGGAAAACAAAACTCAACGTACAAAATTCCATAGGGTTGTCTGAGGGGCGTGGCTAACTCGCAAACGGCGATAGGTCAATTGGTGGCAGATGTAGAAGTTAACAACAGCGAAGCAGCATCTGGTAAAACAGCAAACTCACTACCCGTTTATAGTTAGAGCCTCTCAGTCTCAACCCTAGTCAAAGTTTGGATGCATTGCAACTGGACACATTAGCACCAGACTGCCCCTACGAAATACTCTTATAAGAATCTTATAAGAATCTTATAAGAATCTTATAAGATTCTTATAAGTATTTTTTATTCAAATTAGTAAGATCTTATAAGATTCTTATAAGATTCTTATAAGATTCTTACAAGATTCTTATAAGAATCCCGGCGTGGCCTACAAAATACTCTTATAAGAATCTTATAAGAATCTTGCCAGAATCTTATAACAATCTTATAAGAATAGTCACAGAATCTTATGAAACAATCTTACGAAAAATCTTACAAATTTTTTTTAAATCTTACAAGATTGTTAAACATCTTATAAAATTTTTAAAAAAATTGTAGAAGCAAAGTATGTTGGTTGTGATCAAACTGATTTTCTGAATCTCTCAGCCTTCGTTTGAATCCAAACTACATTAGAAAATGTTTAGAATTTGAAATGCAATTCTGATCAAAATGTTTCCTCCCAACTTGGCTTGCATGAGAGGCAATAAGAATTATCATGTATTAAGTTAGGGTCCTCCCCTCCAAAAAAAAATCAGATCCAGATCATGTATGACCAGTTGTCAACTTTACTTTGAGAATTTTGTTGTTGATCTGCCTGTCAGGAAACAGATGCCTGAAGGCTGGGTCATAAAGGCTGAAAGTCTAGAAATAAATACAAGAAAACAATGAACCATGTATGTTTGGTTTTTCCCATACTTTCCCTGTTGGAAACATTGAATTAGGTACAGGG